GAAAAAAATAAACTAATTCACTAACAAAGTTTTATCATTTTTAATATTGATTATATTGGTCCTAAGTCTGGATGTAAAAAATTGAAGAAAAATAATAATATAATAAAAAAATTTTAGGCCCCCCCTAAAGATATTTTCTGGCTCCGCCACTGGGTCCACTAGACCGGGTCAGCCGGTCCGCACGGGACCGGCACTTCGCAACTAACGCAGGATCTCCACCTCCTGCGGAGATCGAGCGGCCCGACCAGCCAAGTAGAGCTTTTTAGGAAGTTTTTTTGAGGGTTTTGAGAGGGAAATTTGAATGTAGGGACTGTTTAGGGATTTCATTTTTATTTATATGCATTAAATAGTTGGTTTTGCTAGAGTTAGGACATCTTGAATTTGGCTGAAATTTGAGATCTCTTGGATTTCTTTTGGGCTCTAGCAGCGTCTAGAGATTCGGAGATAACGATCCTCCTCTCGAATAGAGGATCAATTGTATCTTGCTAATTTCCATTTTCCTTTCATCAAATAATACAAATTATCTACTGCTTTCGTGGTTTTGGCGGACTTTTTGTGAAAAATTATCGTTGTTTTTCGAAGATTGATAGGAAATACTTGAGATCTACAAGTGTTTCCTATCAAATTGGTATTAGAGCAAGTCTTGGGACCGTTCGTGGGCTAATTCTGACGAAGTTCGGCGGCTGATTTTTGGTCGGGAAGGGACAAAGTGTTGTTTATGTAATCCAAATCCAAATTTTTTGGATTTACAAAAAGCTCGGATCGAGATGGCGGCCAAGAAAGTTGATGCGCAAGAAGAAAGGCTATAAGGGGAGATAAACCAAATCAAGACAATTGTGGAGGAAAAGTAGCTGATCTCTGGGACATGATGAAGAAAATGTTGGAGATCCACAACTAAATGGCGGCTTCCGTGGCAAAAGAGGAGGAAAGAAAAAACATGAATTCAGACATTCGTAGGGAGGAAAATGAGGTGGAAATCGTGGAAGGGGAAGGAAGAAGACCCCATCTGGAGCCTGTCCAAGGGGGAAGAAAGAGGAGGTTATAGGGAAGCCAGGAGGGATACAAAGGCTGCCGTGGTGCTGATTTTGAAGATAGAATGGGGGATTTCGAAGGGAGTTTGGGCTATGGCAAAGCAAGGGAAGAGCGGGATACATGGGGTGGACCGAGCACTTGGGAAAGGGGAAGTTATGGAAGAATCAGGATAAATGGTGGTGACCAAAAGGTGAGAAAGTTGAAGATGACCATCTTCGAATGAGAAGATGCATATGGATGGATTTACAAGGTAGAGCAGTACTTGCCGTCAAAGGGTTGACAGAGGAGGAAAAGCTGACAGCAGCAGGATTGTGCTTGGAAGGGAAAGCCCTATCGTGGTTTCAATGGAGAGACCAACAGAGGCCGATCAGGAACTGGAGGGAATTTAAAGACTGCATAATAGAGCGTTTCCAAACCGATCAGGGAGGAGACTTCTATGAGCATTTCTTTGCTTTGACATAGGAGGGATCAGTAGCAGATTACCGGGAGCGGTTTGAGCACTTAGCTAGTAGGGTGGAGCAACTCTCAGATATAGTGTTGGAGGGGAATTTCATAAAAGGGTTGAAGGCAGAGATCCGAGTAGTAGTGAAAGTTCTGATGCCTAGTGACTTGAGGGGAGGCCATGAAATTGGCACATATGGTGGAAAATCATAAGAATTTAGAGAAGGGAGCCAGGAGCAGCAGCTCAAGAGGCTCTTACAAGACTACGACCACTCTTCTAGCACCCAAGGGGCCTGCCCAAGCAATATTAATGAGACCGCCAGGGAGAAGCCAATAGGAGGAGCGAGAAAAATTTCAAGAGGATGATAGAGAAGGAGATGCAAGAGAAGAGGGCCAAGGGGTTGTGTTTCAGGTGCGAGGAGAAGTATACGCCAGGGCATCGGTGCAAGGACCAAACGCTTTAGGTTCTCAATGTCTGCGATGACGAGGAAACTGAGGAAGAAGGTGAGGAGGAGACCAAGGAGAATCTACACTTGGATCTGGCCGATGTTTCCCTAAACTCAGTGGTAGGATTCACTACGAATCGTACCATGAAGGTGAAGGGGGAGATAGAGGGCAGGGAGGTGGTGATGCTAATTGATAGTGGGGCTACCCACAATTTCATTTCCACTCAGGTCGTCGACCAACTGGGAGTGAAATTGGTGGACACTGATTGTTATCAAGTGATGATGGGTACAAGGAATGTGGAGAAAGGCCAGGGGATCTGTAGAGGAGGATGTTGACCATCCAGGTGATTCAGGTAAGGGAGGACTTTCTTCCACTAGAATTAGGAAACACTGATGTCATCCTTGGAATGAAGTGGTTGCAAACCTTAGGGGAAACCAAGAACAATTGGGAAGCACTCATGATGGAACTAATGACGGATGGGAGAAAGGTGGTTATAAGAGAAGATACAGGGCTATCCAAAGCCATGGTATCACTTAAGACCATGATTAGGAGCCTTCAAGAGGTGGGGAAAGATTATCTGGTGGAACTACACAGGTTGGATGCGATCAGATTGGAGGAGAGAGGGGATGTTTCTCTTTCTGTGTAGCCCTTGGTTCAACAATACAGTACGGTTTTCAATCACCTCAAGGATGGCCACCTCCATAGGAACACGAGCATATTTCCACCTTGAGGACAATGTGGATCTTTGAGAGGGGAGTATTGTTAGACCGGTCCGCACGGGACCGGCACTTCGCAACTGACGCGGGATCTCCGCCTCCTGCGGAGATCGAGCGGCCCGACCGCTCAAGTAGAGCTTTTTAGGAAGTTTTTTTGAGGGTTTTGAGAGGGAAATTTGAATGTAGGGACTGTTTAGGGATTTCCTTTTGATTTGTATGCATTAAATAGTTGGTTTTGCTAGGGTTAGGGAATCTTGAATTTGGCTGAAATTTGAGATCTTTTGGGCTCTAGCGGCGTCTAGAGATTCAGAGAGAACGATCATCCTCTCGAATAGAGGATCAATTGTATCTTGCTAATTTACGTTTTCCTTTCATCAAATAATACAAATTATCTACTGCTTTTGTGATTTTGGCGGACTTTTTGTGAAGAATTCTCACTGTTTTTCGAAGATTGATAGAAAATACTTGAGATCTACAAGTGTTTACTATCATCTCCCTGACATACACAAGGCATACAATTAAAACAATAAAACAAAAAAGACCTAAAGGTCCTTGCTGCTCCCTCTTTTGACTCCAATTTTGAATTTGAAATCAAGTGGACCCCCCCCCCCCCCCCCCCCCCCCCAAAAAAACCCCTCTCTCTCTCTCTCTCTCCTGTAATAGACTTGAACAAGCCCCTTAGAAGGGGCTGGCTGGACCGGTCCACTAGGGGCCGGTCTAACACATTTCAAGTTCATTTGAATCTACTGTTTGATATCCACTGGATAACTATCTTTTCTTCAGCATGCCTTGCCGTTGTTGAGAAATGTTTTTTTCCAAACAACATTGAAGAAGTTATTACTCTGTTGGAAAATCCTTAAAAAAACAAGGGATGAAATTAAGAAACAGAAAATAAAAAGTTAATTTATTACATCTGATTCCACTTCAGAAGAAAAGGAAAAACAAAAAACAAAAAGCAGCCACCTCAGCACTTAATCAACCATTGAATTTCAAATTGCAAGCAGCCGTCGACTAACCAAACCAAACTCAAGAAGATCTTGATATTTCTGAGCATCGCAGAATAATAGAATTTAAAAAATCAGGCAAGTGGCCACCTTTGTCCTATGTAGCCAAATTGTACGATTGCCGTTTCTAGAAACTTTAAGAAGCAAATAAAATTTTAGCCTCTATTCACTAAATGCCATCAAGCTAACATCTTACTGAAATATAAGTCTTTTGAAATTCAAACTAAGTCATGGAAGAAAGATAGAACATACTTAGTTTAAAATACAAAATAGAAAAGATCAATACACTACCTTTGGCACAATAAAAACACCACAATTATATGAAAATGGACTAACTGTCTTTTGGGCATCTAAAAGTACAGCCTTGTAGCTATAAAGGGACTCTCCCTCTCCACCAAGAATAAGTTGGCATCTGCGCCCTGCTTGTAGCTCCCGCAGATTCCCGTGGGCTCCTAAGTTTAAATCTCTCAAAGAATATATGAGATTGGAACTTGAGGAGTATTCTTCACGAATTTGATTCTCAATTTTAATGCCATCAAGTAAAGCTTGAGCCTGTAAAAAATAATGGAATGCATGCAGGGCAATAATCAAAGCAGTTTCAATAAGCACAATCTATATATGACAATAATATCAAGATTACGAATGATTGACTATCCGAAACCTGTTTTGTATTACATGCCACGATTGACTGATCAAAAGATGATCCAATCAGATTCACTGTGGCCAACTGATCTTTCAGAAAAACGACCATGAATGTTTGGAAGGTAGATCTGTTACCAGGTTTGTTAGGTACAACATGGATTGTAGTTTTCCATCCAAACCTGAACAAGTTGAAAAGCAACCCTACACACAAAAAAAAAATAATGTAAAGATATTACAATAACCTAAAGAAATTTCTCAAACAAAATTTTGGAGAACACAAAATATCAAGCACGAAATTAAGGCAAAAAAAAATTGCATATAAACTTAAGTATAGGAGTAAAACAACAAAATATAATTTGCTTATATAAATTAAAAGCATGTTTATATAGAATGTAGACAACTAGACATCTGAGGATACATAGCTCATTTATTATCTCAAAAAACTAATGAACTGTGTGCATACTCACAGTTAAATAAGTTGGTGGTGGTGAGTGCAGTAGCAGGGCTATTCATGAAATATAAATTCCTTAAAATGGAAGCAATCAATGATGCTGGGTATTTGAGAGCCAATCAATAAGAAAGTTCCCAAAACTTAAAAACTGTCTATGAAGAATATATGAAGTTTACTTCAGGGAGCATAACGGTAAAAAATTTTCCCATTCACAAAAAAAAAATTGAGAGATTAGCAATGTAACTACCACATTTTAAGTACATAAGATATGAGAAAATAACTGCATGAATAGACAGTTTTCTAAACATCACTGTCCTGCCACTGGCCCACTAGTATGAAGTAGAAGCCTACCTAGTACATGAGATTCTGCAAGGGTGACGCAAAGATATTTCCCTCTTGATTTAACAATCCTCTTCACCTGATCATACGAATTTTCTGTTTAGATCTAGATTGCATAGACATACTTTTTGTAACTGACAGAAACTTTGAGAAAAAAAAAATCGAGGTGTCCAAAATATCAATCTACATATTTCAAAGATACCTCTGTAAGATATTTGTTCCCAAGTTCTGAGCCAGCCTCTGGTTCCATCAATGCATCCAACCCCCCTTTATCAAGAACAACATCAAAGCTCTCATCTGCAAACTGATCTTAAAAATAGAGGTTAATAGATAAATAATTAAAATTAAAAGGCAATTTGGTCACATTCCACAGCTAAGTTTTGGGACAAAGGTCTACAGCATCTTAGGCTTCGTTTGGGACAGCTTTTGTGCTGCTCTTTAAAATAACTTTTTAATACAAAAATTTTAAATTCAAAAAATTTTTGTAGTTGAAAGCTGTTTTAGAAAGCAAGAATAAATTAGTACCAAATGAAGCCTTAGACAACTACTAGAAAACTGACAGACCTCACCAAAATCACGGGACTAAACATGGATTAATGCACGAATACCACAAAAGACATGTATAGGACTAACAATCCCCTTTTGCATCGCATCAGGATTTAGCTTTTAATCCTACTACACAAGCCGAATTTAATCAGCCTCCCCAAGAAGTTGAATTAATCTAGTGCTGGATTAGATTATGCAATAATGTTTTCTTTAAAAGTGATTTAATAATAATTAGAAAAAGGGTTATTTCTTTATAAACAATTAATCAAATGCCAATATAAAATGTAAAGTCATGCGATTCCTTAACAAATAGAGTTCTACCAATAGGGAATGGAGCCTTGGGAAGCCTCAATCTCCATAATGAAATCCTTATCATACAGTCAAAATTCTAGGACATATATCATCAATCGGCCTAAAAAAACTTCAAGTTTCCAAAACTGCATGCTTGGGATCTTTTAGAGCCCATAGAGGCATAGAGTTATGAAAAATAAACAAAAAATCTATATAATGTACAACTAAAATAATCTTGATAATATAAAAAATGAACATAAAGTTCAAAGGGTAAAAAATCAGAAGTTACATGATATCCAAACGACACAAAAAGTTTTAAATAACCTTTAGCAAGATCAAAATGACCATGATAAATAATTTGAGTGCCAAAACTGCGTTATTCCCAATTAAGAAAAGTGCAGAAACAATTTTAGTTTTCTTTTGGGCAGTCCCCAATCACAAAATAAAATGATCTAAGGAAGCAAGCAATCAAAAGCAAAAGCAGTAACCAATGGCAAATGCTGTCACTGTCCATTTTGAAGACTAGGCACGTAGACCAGCATTTCGAGCTCGAAGTGCAAGTACTTTTGTAGTTTTTGAAGGCTAGGCACATAGATTTATAGCCAAAGCACTTAAGAAATTTAGTTTTTTTAGAAGCAAGATTTTGCCACAATAGCACGTAAAACAATATAACAGTTCATATGAAAAACCAAAAAAAAAAAAACAAGAAAACCAATTTCATTACTGATTATAATTTAATAACTATGAGATGAACCATTAGAATTTTAATCACCCCCCTGTAGAAGGGTCAACACTCGTTTCTGGGGTGCAGGAATTCCTTTCCACATATTTTTCCATCTTCCAAGAACATTTTTAAACTATTTGGTGAAGGATCATGCTGTTAGTATCTATCATTAGCCATCTACTAATACTGAAGAGAACAGTTTCCAATAGAATTTATAACGAAAAAGGTTCCTGTATCTTCTCAGATGCGAAAGAGTACGTTTTTAAGAGATGCAAAGTGATACTTCAAGCATCGAAAAAATGTTTGAGTTTTTTTTTTTTTTTTTCAAATTTCAGTTCTACTGCTTATTTTAAGCTTCAAAGTTCAAACTTTTATTAACCTCAAACTTTTTTCATTTTGGCTAACCTGAAAAACCGAAATTCCTAACAACATCTAACAAAATTTAAAAGAAAATCTTAACCGTTAACAGCCAATCATAAAGAGCACGAATACATTATAAGTTCTTCAACTCTATGAGCCTTTTCTCTTCACCAAACAAACCAAAAGCCAAACAACCAAAGAAAAAGATAACTTGGCACTCCTACCTGCATGTCGGTCATGTCCATAACCCGCCATCTCATCTCTGGGCGCATGCGGACGTTGCGTCGTAGCATATCGGAAACCACAATCTTAGAAAAATCGATGTTGGTAATTTGTCGGAATCCCGCGTCGTATAGGTGCTCGGAAACGCTAGAATTGCCGCATCCAGGAACAAGTATCTGAGGCGGCCCCACGGCGGCATCGGAAGAGGTGGCTACAGACGAAACGGATGAAAGCTGCGAAAGAAGCAGGTCGCGGAGAAAGGGCCATTCGGCGTACCACTCAAACGAATCTCCAGCACCCCTTAAAGAGAAGAACTTGTCCCAGTTCTCCTTGCTGGTGAAGTCCCCTAGGGTTTCCAGGAGGTCCATCGGAGCCTGTCTGCTTTTCCCACTCGTGCTGCTGTGGGAAGAGAATCTAACAAGACAGAAAGGTTGTGCGGCGGATGCGCGCTTCCGGCCGAGAGAAAACGGCGGGAAGTGGGTGGCGTGGGAGAGGCGAGAGGACTTCGCAGGGAAATCAATGCGAGCTGTCTGACTATTTATCAGAATTTCTACAAATTTATCAATAAGAATTTACTAAATTTAGCATACAAAAGTCCTCATCTGTATGTATGTTCAATTATATGTATAATCATTTTAATTTATATACTCAAAAGTAGCACTTCATTTTATCACCATTAAATTTGAAATATTTTCATATGCAAATCAACATTTTATATATTATAACATATTTATTTATATATATTCTTATTTTAACTCATATAATTAACAAAATAAAAAAAATGAAATCTTAGAGGGTACATTTTAATGAGGAGATAAAAGGGTTTGAGACATAATCATATAAAGATATTTTGTGTTATATCATTTTCTTACTTGCAAGTTGCACTTAAAATTTAATTCAATACTAAATTATTATTAGTAACTTGTTTTAGCAAATCTAACTTGTTTTAGTCTCATTTGGAGTAGTTGATCTTAGATAACTAGCCCCCCACTAAGAAGGTTGTTGCGGGTTAGAATATACGCGGTGATAGATTTAAAATACTTTCATCTTAGCGTTGTACGAATATTCAACACACAAACATGAAAGGAAAATAAACACCTGGATTTTTACGTGGAAAACCCGAAAGAAGGAAAAAATCACGGGGTCACGCTCAGTTGAAGTAATTCTAATAGTATTTGTTTGAAGTACAGAGGTTGATTCGTCCCACAAGTTAGGACGATCAAATTACAAAGAGTTTCTTCTGAATTGAAATTCAGTTACAAAGTTATGCAGAATTCCGGCATCTCCCGAATATCCGGCAAAATTCTGGCGTATTCAGGCGGCGGAAAGAACTCCGGCGGTGGTCGAGGATGAGCTAATTCTCCTCCTCTTCTCTTTGCTTCAGTCCCCTCTCATGAGAAATAAGGGGTATATTTATAGTTTTTCTAGAGTGACATAGCTCGTAAATAGGTGTGAGATCATGATCAAATAGAGAATGGTCGAATGGACGGCAAATACTAAATCCCTTGTTCGTGCACCTTTCGTCAGACATTTGAAGGCCTTAGTGATATCGGAATTCGATGATCTTGGACTCGTTGGATTTGTCTCGTCAAGCCGTTCGATTCGACTATAAGCTCGTTAAAATCGAAAACCGTTTGATAACTCAAAATGTGGTAAGAGCTTTCCAACAGCACTTCGAGTGCTTGATTTGGGTTCATTTGGGCTCGGATCGAGTTGAATTTGGTGTCGTTAGGTTCGTATTTTCGAGACGCTCAGTTTGACTATAAGCTCATTGAAATCGGAGTTCGGGTGCTTCCAAATTTAATTTTTAAAATTTTCGAGTTGATTTTTGCTTTGAGATTCGTGCCCGATCAAGATAATTTTATGATGACGTATCAATGGTAAATGCAATTAATATTGAGAAACCCTTCTTTTAATAGATTTCATTTGATATCAAACTCAACTAGATAAACTCTAAGGCCATGAGTGATTTATATTGTGCTCTAAAATATGATAACTATTTACAAGTTTCAATGCTTATGACCACCAAAGATGCATGAGAATGTTTTTTTTTTTTAATCCCAACCAAGGGCTTAACCATTTTTTTTCTAATTTTTCAATTTTTAAGGTTTAGGGCGCAAAAAATATTTAGTTTAAATTATAATAACTTTTTTTATTAGAAATATTTGCCCCAAATCATCATGAAGCATCTTCACATAATCACACCACTCCATGTGAGCTTTTTAAATTTTCAAGTAATTGACATCCTTGTCATAACACAACATTTTTTATAGTACATGCACACATGAGTACATAACATGCCATCATGATACCCAAAAATCTTATATTGAATATTTAAAAGTGCATTTAAAAGATGCATGAAAATGTTAAATAAAAATATTGATATAATATTTCATGGATTTTAAAAATCTTGTATGTAGTCTAATCTATCCATTGATGATATGCAAACAAAAATTATGAAGATTATAAATTCTTTGCATTCATTAAAACTTTATCATTTGCATTCATCAATGACACCCTATAACAACAATCATTCACCCTCTAATATCTCAGTCATAAGAAAGCTAACAAAGTCATTAACAATCTACACTATTGTATGAGTAGAGCCAATCAATTCAATCCCACAAAGAATCATAAAGCAAGACTACACATTTAGTTATTATTATATTCAAAGCACAATCTCACACATACCTCTAATTTCTCTCCATCTACCTTAACCTATTGGCCTTTTGAGAGCTCTAGCACATACATTTTTAGTCCTCTCAAACATCTCTTCTAAATGTTATAAATTCATTCTTTTATGTACCAATAGGTTCTCAAAATGGAAAAAAAAATCATCCTTCTCATAGGGGTGAAGTCATACAATATATTAACTTTCTTTATCGACCGTATTACTTATCTTTCAGTGTCATAGCACATCATTTGAAATAATAACACTTCTTTAAAAGGTGCCAAGATTGTCAAGTTAGATCATCAATATCAATTTGATTGGAGATACCCTACTATGGACTATCCCAATGCAAATGACCTAGCTAAGGCTTTCAATAAGACATGATTGCGGCAAAGCTTAGGGTTTAAGATTTAGATTTATGTGCTTCTCTTCCTTTCTTTTCCCTCCAACCTCCGACGGCCTATTTTGCTCCAATATTTTGGATAGTTGAAGGGTTCGAAAGGCATTTTGATCTATGATAAGAAAGCTTCCCATCTTGCTAATTGTTGTTGTGTTTATTTTATTTGTAGACAAAGAAATAGAAGCAATCCTCTTCACAATCAGTCTACCACATTGTGCTATATAAAAAGGGTTGTCCCCAACCAAAATCTCTGGAAGGAAAAAATTTTGGTGTTCTTCGATTGGAGACAGGAGTTTGCATCTGGATTCTGTAAGTGTGCGCAATAAAAACATAACGTGCATACTGACAGAATCTCAGACTTTGGGCGGGAGAGGATGGGTCTCCCGTCTATACTCCGCACATAATAATGTCCTTCAACTAATAAATTGTTCTATGTGGACACAGAACACAGTTCAACGTACGAAGACCAACTAGAATGCACCACTTCAACAGTATCGAACATGATACCGAACGGGGGTGACGTTACGCATTCTGATTGGTCTCTATACGGCATTCGACATCCACACGGAATAATTTGCCCCTTCAGTTGAAGTTCCTTTGAAGGTTGCCTGGGAGATTTACTGGACAGTGATGATAAGCTTTTACCAGCAGCTCCATAGTGTGTTCTATCGCTAGGATGTTCTTTCCTTCAAAAGCAAACAAAGGGAAGTTTTTGGGTTCCTGCCAGCCTTTTTTTCTTATGGCTGTTTCTTTTTGTGCTTACTCAGTTCAGTGTTTTCCTTATCTTCATATTTCCTGCTTCATGGATTAGTTCGAGCATTGGTTATTTTTTTGTCAGCAGCTCAGATTCAGTGGTTGTAATTTGGATTAGCTGTTGTTTTGCTCCGGCCTTGTAATTAATTTCCTTATAGATTGAAAATTTTGGGTTTTGCTCCTAATTCTCCCAGAGAAAAAAGATAACTTTCAATCAAAATCAATCATAAACGACCAAAAACAGACAAGTTAGGCTAGTTAGCTGAAAGATTGATGGGTAGAAGCAATCAAGCAAAGAACAAAAAAGATGTCAAAAGCACATATTATTGTCTTTATTGCAGAGTAGAAATTGTTGAGCACAGATGTAACACGAAATTAATGAAGAAATAACAAGTGTAACGATGAGCTCTGTTTAGTGTTCCAGGCATGTAACTGTATCCACCATGGATTACGATGGCTACTTGACTAAGCCTGGTAAAAGGTTTCCTCTGCAATAAATTAAAAAATTAAATTTCGATAACAAAGAATGGAAATGCGAATCAATGGAAACGATTCGATATCACCCGTTTTGGAATTGGGGTTGCAATAGAGCGTGGCGAAAACCAAAAAATTCGGTACGCTATCGCAATAGCAATCACTTATAAACGCAGAGATTACGCAGAAAAGAAGAAAACAGAGGTACGAAACTGAAGTAAAATGTATCAGATCTAGACAAAAGCGAGACTCGGGGAAGATTGAGAATCCGCTCGGTCAGAAGATCGATGCATCAATATCGCTGGTCTCAGGAGGCGCTCAATCATTACGGGCTTACCCGCATATCGGCGCCGCTGAACCAGCATGAGATAAAAATGAGAGATTAGGAAGTCAGAAAAAACGACAGCAAAGCTCAAAAATCGCTCACTAGCTACTCCAAAGTCGCTTCCACGCTATTGCAATCGAGGATTCCGGTTTCGATTTCATATCATTCAACTCCTACCTAAGATTTCACTCACGACAAGATGATGCCTGAACAGATAGTTTTCGAACGAATATGGGATCGCCATTGTCGCTGTTCAAGTGGAAGACTGAACTGCAATATCCCTACCTGATGAAAGAGGAGAGCAGCCGGCGACGGAGGAGTAGAGATGGTCGCCCTCGCGGAGGCCGAGGCGGCGGCGACCGTGGATGATCGACAAAGCTGTGAAGCAAGGGGTATAAATAGGACGGCCAGCGGGATATGGGCACGGGGCTTAGGGTTCTCCTAATTTATATATAAGGTTACTTACTAACGTGACCGTCTGATGGGAATCGGATGGCTGCAGCTAATATGAAAAGAAGATGAATTTGTGACTTTTAATTGAAATCACTTCACCATTCATTTTCATTAAATAATTTAATAATTTTTAAAATTAACAATATTTAAAATTTGCTTAACTATCTTTTATTTATATATATTTTTTTAATTTTTTTAATGCCAAGCTCATATTGAACCTATAATTGATGTGTTATAAAAAAACTCAATTTGATCGGACATGAAGCTTGATGTACTTTATTTTTAATAATTTTATAATCAAATTGTCAGCTCGGTGAGACGAACCCAACAACACTAAAAGTGATATGATTTGAGCTCAAATCAGCACAGATCAGATACTTAAAGTATCATTAAAATTTTGAGAATATTAATTGGTTAATAAAATAATCGTCAAATTTTACATGCTTATAATCAAATTGAGTGTTTCAACAAGACAAATCCAACGAACTCATCATTGCCTAATTCTTATAATCTTAAGGCCCTTAAATGGTAAAAAATAGTCGTGAACAAGGGAATCTACAGCCCATCTAAAGGAGTGACGTTTAGGATTCTGGCTAAATAATTAGAACATGTCATTCTTAAAAATATATAAATAAGCCCACACTGTCTACATGAAGAGAACATTTTGCATGAGATTCCAAAGAACTTAGATGTTTAAAGAGTCTCAAAACTCTACTTGAGCAACACCACCCAACCCTTAGACCACAATCATACCATGACAACGATAATACTATGTCAGACCACCACTTAACTACCACAAGACCATCATTATTAGACCACTATCATCATAATAGCACCAACAGACCATTGTCATTGAGCAGCTATTGCTCGATCATATCCAGATTAGTTAGATCGAGCCGCCACAACCCAACCTCTACAATGGAATCATCATCACCTAACATCTGTCATCGAACCACTATTGCCCTACGGCCCCTACCTTTGTCAAGGCCATCACCGCTCAATTAACTTGTCGGATCACTGCCACCCTAACCGTCGTCAAAGGACCTCTCCTATCAAACCAACTCCTCCCGACCACCATTATCTAACCATCATCACTAGATCACAAGTCCAAATGCATCTACTCCCCCGAAGACTCTATATTGTTTTCTTCCAACAACTCATACTCTTATAATCTCGTTTTCTCCAATTTTAAGATGGGCGAATATTTGCAATCAACACTCATTTAATGGAATTATTTTGGCCGAGCACATGCACGATGATTTATCCCATTCCCAAGATTTCCATATAAAAACTCTCATAAATCCTACAACAATAAATCACTAAGAGTTTCCCCATAAGATCTCTCGAACGATGAATATAAAATTCTTATAAAATGCTAAAATATATGGATAATATTTTATCTATTATGTAACATCACTGGAAAAAATCTACTCAGATTAATTCAAAATAAATATGCATAGCAACATAAGGAGCTTTTATATTTGATTTGCTCTAATTTAATTAGAAACATTGATAATAAAGATAATATTTGTTTGTCTAAATGAGGCACAAAATAAAGTGGGTGATTAAAAAAATATATCAATTTTTCATTTGCAAATACAATTTATATATCAGATGTGGCACTAATCTCAATAAAGACTTGGTTTGAGACGGCTTTCTTATTGCTTTTTAAAATAACTTAGTACTAGAAAATTATTTTAATAAGCAATAGGAAAGGCATCCCAAACGAAGCCAAAATCTAACAATAAGATTAGTATTGATACGAATTCAATCAGGATATTTTGCAGCAATTTTTTTTTTTTAATTTTGTTCCTTCCTGCAATAGATATCTTTGTATTCAACGAGTCTTGTAACCTTTTTGAAGATTTAAACTTTGTTTGGAATGACTTTCTTACTACTTAAAGCAACTTTCTATTACAAAAGTTTTAATTTTTATATTAAAAAACTACTTCAGGAAGCAGTAAGAAAGCCGTCCCAAACGGGCTTCATTTGACAAGACTGATTTACTTCTTTTTAAAGCAACTTTCTAGTAAAAAATATCTAATTCTAAAAATTTTTGTGCTATAAAATAATGAAGAAAACTATCCCAAACAAAATCTTAATGAGATATCTCTCTCCCTATCTGCATGATGAACATAAGTTATTTGAACCACTTAAATCTCATGCTGTACTTATTTTTGCTTCATCCATTAAGCAATCAACTCTACTAATCCATGTTAAAAGTCAAATTGCTTGGTAATTCCCTTCATTCTCTTGAACTCCAAATAAAACATCATTGAAAAAAAAAAGAGAACAGAACAATCATTCTCCTCTTAGGAAAAAATTATTCTGTGCGGAGACCGTACACGAAACACCGTCCGGAGACTAACCAAAATACGACATGTCAGGAGTACCGAGCCGCGGTACTGAGCAGTCGAGCAAGAAATGACGTGACGCATTCTGGATGGTCTCCAGACTGTGTTTGACATCCGCACATAATAATTAATCTCTCTTAGGGCTCATTTGGTTGCTTGAAGTTATAGATTGTTATTTAAAATTATGATAATTATTGAATTCGTTAATTGTTGAATATAGTCGGTTCGAGTTGCCCTGCAATTGGAACACTTTTTTTAATTCCAGATAATTACAACAGATAATTCAAGCTTTTAGAATTGATAAAAATATAAATCCTTGAAACCTGCAAGGGAGTATGAGAAGCCAATGAAATTTAAGTTTTTCTTTTCAGCTTACTATGATTTCCAATGGAAGTAGTTGAAGCTTAAAATAAGAATATCTGATGATGTATTTATGTTAGCAGATAACACGAAAATCTGTTGGGCTCTCTTCCAACAGAAAAAGACTTTGAAAACACTAAGGGGTTGTTTGGCAACAAGTGGGATTTAACTTGAATAGGATTTACAAAATGCTGTAAATCTACATTTAGTAAATCCTGCTAAAGTTAAATCATGAAAATTGTTTCGTAACGTAAGGGTTAAATCCTCTGGAGCTGTTTGACAATGTAATTAGATTTAAGATGGTTATTTGTACCTTGTCACTAGAAGCCAGATTCCACTGTTCGCTCTCCTGCCTCTCCCGCGCCTAGAATCTTAAATCTGTCGAACTGCAAGATTTAGTAAATCCGAGATTTACTACAAAGATGATAAGACGAAGGATTTATTCTGCCGTAACATCCAACAGCTTCATAAATCTTGTTTGGTAGGATTTAGCGTAAATCCTGCTGCATAAATCCCGTTGCCAAACAACCCCTAAAAAGTCCTAGTAATCCACAGAATTTCAATGAATTTTATACATGAACTATGTTGAAAGTTTCAAACTCTACCAAAACATTGCAGCACATTTTTCTTTTTACACTAATAATGTTATGATGCATCAAATGGCAAGTTTCGGTCCTCCCCAACTGCTTGCTACCTGCTAGCAGGTCTGAGCAGTGGAGGAAATATAAATCAGCAGTCACTGAAAGAACAAAACTACTAAGCATTAACTTGTTCCAAAATTTTGCAATCTGTATACAAAGTATGCTACTTACGAGAAAGAAATTTGGTTGAATTCATGTTGGTTTTTGTCCATTCTGCGTGCCTCTAAAGTAGCTCCTTTCTGCTTTTGCAAGGCGAGCTTGGAACCATGACCACTCTAACTTGCACCTCTCTCTCACCTGATCATGTAAATAAGACTCAGATGTGTTTGTCATTGTAAGCACACCGCGAATAGTATAGATAAAGCTGATGATGATGATTATTATTACATTTGCTTCTAATTATTATCAACATCCACCAAATCAGAAGCACAATGAGCTAGATTTATGAACTTTTTCTTTGATATTTTGACCGTTGAAGTGTTACATTTTATGTTTAAAGCTTCGTTTGGGACGATTTTCTTACTGCTTCTTAAAGCAGCTTTTTAGTACAAAATTTAAAATTGTTGTACTAAAAAGCTGTTTTAAGGAGCAACAAAAAAGCTGTCCCAAACGAAGCCTAAGTCAGTTGGAAAACTCAAAACAATTAAATCAGCATGTACATTTTTGTCATGAACTCCACATTCAGGCTTCATTTGGGATGACTTTCTTGCTACTTCTTAAAGCAGATTTTAAGTATAAAAATTAAAGTTTTTGTACTAGAAAGTTGCTTAATGAAGCAGTAAGAAAATCGTTCCAAACAAAACATCAAATTCAAATTTCCTTTGGATGATGGTGATTGCTCTTTTTTGTCATTCATATGTGCACATCTCAATTTGTTCTATGCCAGCCAACTAATTCAATTGGCAATGATCTTGCAAGTTGTTGGTGACTATATCATAATAAATTCCTACCTAAAGGACCTTCGGATGGGAAAAAATCTAAATTCTTATCTACTTAATCTTTGGTATGATAAAATTTCAATGAAACATGAACTCTAGATAGTTAGCTTTTGTTGGTAGCAAAAACCATGATGATATAAAAACACCAATTAAGATATGATTGGTGAAAAAATAAAATTAGAAAACTTGCAATATCAAGTACTTGATATTGACAATGTTGAACCATATCCAACATTCATGGGAGAGAATAGGAATATAAATACTACTAAAAAGCAACATTGTCATACAAATTAGGCTTTGTTTGAGAAGACTTTCTTATTGCTTCTTAAAGCAGCTTTTTAGTATAAAAATTAAATTTTTTTACTAAAAAGTTGTTTTAAGAAGCAGTAAAAAAGCTGTTCAAACGAAGCCTTAATGAGAGTAAAAAAGAAAAAAAAAATGAGAGAAAAAAGAAAAAGCAGCATTCTTCCTAAAACCAACATACTCCCAGACCTTTCAAAACCAATATTAAAAGTCCTAAATTCTTGTACAAAATATACATGGATGTGCTTGATTAGCACCGTAAAAGAAAGCTTTCCTCTCAGCTGAAAGGTTTATTACAAATAATACGAACGGATGTGTTCTTTGCACAGCCAAGTGCAAGGGTCTTTAGGATTCTAAGTACAGAATGAAGTCCTACTTTTATTAAGAAGAAAGCTTCGTGTTTTACATCTCTAATGGCTAACCACGATCTGGTCCTTGATTTATTGAAAGATTTTGTCACTCCTTTTTAAGCTATAGGTGAGATTTTTTTTTTCTTACGCAATTCATTAAAATCAATATATATAATGAAGGTTTTCAAGCTTGGGTTAGTCTTGTTAAAATCACTCTAGAAAATGAGCATACTCGACAATTATAAGATGTAATTTCTAGAGAAAAGATATAGAAAGTACCGCTACCCATGGTGTTTTTCCACCGTATGATTCTCCCTGCAATATTTAAGATTTTTAAACAATGAACATTTGATGAACCACAAATAAAATTAGGCGTAAAGATAATAGACAAGTTATTTGGCAGGTAGCCAAGTAGTCAAGTATAAGCATTATTAGAGAAATAGTTCCAAATTGGACATGTGTTAGGAAATTAATTAAACAAGTACTTTCACAATAATCAGAGAGGCCTTTAAATGTCCTAGAATTCTTAATTCAAAATTTTGGATTAACATTGTTTAGGCTTACAAAGTTTATAGCATCAAAAATAGCATGACTAATGATAGGAAATAGTTGAGTTCGCAAGCAACCATAGCAATAATCGGTGAAAACAACGAGAAATTTGCAAACTGAGGAAAGACAATCCAAACGATAGAGAATTTTATAGAACTCAAATCAAAGAAAACACCAAGCAAAGATACAAGTGATCCTCAATTCGAGAGGAGGATCATTCTCTCCCAAATCTCTAGATGAAATCTAGAGTCCAAAGACACCAAGAAAACTTAACAAGAACACAATTATCATCGTATTCCTAACCCTAATTTTCGCCATACTTAAGACATGAAATTAGAAAACAAAAGCAAAAGACTAATTTGCCCATGCCACTCCCCCCTTGTCTCCAATTTTGAATTTTGAATTTCAAGTGGACCCCACCCTTCTCTCTTTACCTGTTGCCGCAGCCTCCCTCCTTGAATAAACCTGGACCGGCCACTTCTAAGGGGCCGGCTGGACCGGTCTAGTAAGGACTGATCTAACAACTAATGAAACAAGTTTCATTTTAAAAGATATTTAAACAACTAAATATCATGAGAGTTTGACAAATCTTCCAAGTTCTATCTATTATCGAGCAATAAAGTCAGAAATTACAATTATATAACTATTACTTGTGAGCTAGTGTGATCTAATCTAGCTATCTCCATTGAAAATTAATAAATATAAAAGAGCTGAAAATATTAAGAACTATGTATAGACATAGTGTGCGCTCTAAAAAGGCTTTTTGTTTCTTATAGTGCATGCTTTAAAAAAGTGTTAGACTGGTCCAGTGGACCGGTCCAGCCGGTCCATGCGGGACCAGCCCAGACGCGAACAGGGCAATTGTTTCCGCCCGCTGGGATGCTGTGCGAGCCGCACATCGTGCGGGAGCCAAATAGGAAAGAATTTTTTGGGAATTAAGAGGGAAATTTGAATGTATGGATTATTTAGGGAATTCCTTTTGATTTGTATGCATTAAATAGTTTGTTTTCCTAAGGTTAGGGCATCTTGAATTTGGCTAAAATTTGAGATCTCTTAGATTTAGGTTTTCTTTGGGCTCTAGCGGCGTCTAGAGATTTGGGAGAGATCGATCCTCCTCTCGAATTGAGGATCAAGTATATCTTGCTATTTTCCGTGTTCCTTTCATCAAATAATACAAATTATCTACTGTTTTCGTGGTTTTGTGCGGACTTTTGTGAATGATTCTCATTGTTTTCCAAAGATTGATAGAAAATACTTGAGATCTACAAGTGTTTCCTATCAAAAAGGCTCCCTATCATTTATGGACTAAAAAAGAGTATATTTAAAAGACATAATGGATAGTAGATCAACACTACCTAAATCTCATTGAGGACTTAACATTCTATAAGATAGCTTGGATAGTGGATAAACATTACCCAAATATTTTATTCATTGAAGACTTCTGTATTCTAGTTTCGAGGCTTCCAATGTGTTCGGGCCTCCTAATCCAGGTTAAAGGCTTCCATTGGTCCCAAGGCCTTATAGTTATTTACCTCTTTTGATTTTAAAGAAAACTCTCAATTAAGAATGTTGAGGGTCAACATTAATTGTAAGTTGTGGATGGCTTCATGGATTAAAGTTTAACAAGTTGCATTTGCATTTGGATTAATTTCACTATGTGCTCATAAGAGATGTAAGGACATGGTGGCGAGCCAACTCATGGTCAAATGGTTCCATCATCAAAGATCCACCAATGGACCACAATATAAATGATAAGAAGTCACGCACTTTGATGGTTTGTTGACCAGGGAAAATATTAAAAATAGTGTGTTCCCTCATCAAAGGGTTCCTATAAACTGGAATTGTAAAATATGCCAAGGAGACCAACTTTGTGATAGACCTTGGCTAATAAAGACTTTGCTATCCAATTAGTGGACCAAGAGGCTCAAAAGCTTGAAGACCTGGTTAGTGGAGAACATATAGGTTTTTATGATCCAAGAAGCTCCTAAGACAACTTACTAAACAATTAAGCCCAAAAGAAAGCCAAAGTTAGAGTACAAGTTAAGTCAATAAATCATACTCAAAGGTGGCAAAGTCACAATTTAAACTCAAATTCATGTCAAAATGTCTAACTCATGATCAAGCCCAAAAGTCCAATTGGGTGCATAGGGAATATTTAGCTACAAGGCGGTTACAAAGTTAGTTATATAATAAAGAGAGGGAAGATCATATAACGGTTTTAAAATTTAAAAACATTTCCCCCCAAAAAAGGAGGAATATCACCATTCGTAAAAGAAGTTAGGATTGGGTCAATAACCGAACATCATTCATCACTAAAAGAGAAAATCTACACGACAACTCATCTCATGAGGATTATTATATAATAAGTGGAAATTTTAGAATTATCTCTTCATTTTTATTGGTGTTTGTCTTTCAACTCTCTATGATAATAAATAATTTTACCTAACATTATTTTCTTGATAGATGTGGGCTCTAAATCTCACCAACCACCTTTGATAAAATTATGATAGCTTGGCATCCAGCTTTCCTTTTCTTAAGATGTAATGGATATCGTATAAGATATTGCCCATATATAATTCATACATTTCACCCTCTTGTGAGGATCATATATTCCACCCTCTCATAAGAACCTTATAATCTGGTATGAGATTTCTTATAAGTCAAAGCCCCCATGATTAATGACTCATCTTAATCACGAGCGAGAACATTTAATTAAAGCTAGTATGTAGGCACTATGATGTTTTGCGTTAATGAAAACTTGGATTGGGGATAGAAAAATGATTTGTTATTGGCACAAAGAGAAAAGGTAGCTTGATGAAAAATTTGAACAAGGTTTCATCATCCCAGCTTATCGAGGACCTTAGCCTATTTAATCAATAGAGTCAGCAACCAAATTTAACAAAGAGAAAAGGTAGCCTGCATCATCCCAGCTTATCGAGGACCTTAGCCTATTTAATCAATAGAGTCAGCAACCAAATTTAACTAAAGGATTCTTACAAACAATCATGAGTGACATCATTCAATGAAAATTTGCATATTTGGGGTTGAAAGCTTATCTAATGAACCAATATTAAGGCCAACGTTGGCTAACATGTACCTTATGACTCACAAGTTATAAGCTTGGCCATTAATTAACATTTATATTTACATCATTATAATATTTTAATGATGTCATCACAATCAAACTAATCATTCTATCAGAGGCAACATTCCACATCCTTACTAGCCTAAGATTTTTTTAGTGTTGCCATATATATATACAAGATATGACATTAGTTCTTTATGAGCTTGGTCAAATATAGATTTGTCATCCTTAGCAAACTCATGTGGAGAATAGTTGGATAGTTGCTTTGAGCACAAAGGGACTAATTATTTCTTAAGCTTTTTTAACTTGTAAGGGGGCTAAATATAGATAGAGTTCTATTTGGTTATGCATTGCAATAATTATGCCAATCATCAGGAATGTAGCCCAAAATATGTTTGATGTTGGAATTAAGAGGGAATTTTTATGATGATGAATTAGGGGTGCAAGTGAACCGAGCCAACTCGGCACGAGCTCGAATCGTTCATGGGCTCGCGAGTCGAGCTTATCGAGCTCATGAGTCAAGCTCGAACTAGATGCAAATCGGCTCATGAGCTCGCGAGCCAGCTCGAATTATTTTTAGGATTTTTTAAAATAAAGTAATTAGTTTTTTTATTAAATTTAAATCTAAAAAAATTTGTAGCTAGTTTTTTTTTAAAGAAATTGTGAAGGATGTAGTAGCTGCAATGCAAATTTTCAAAAAATATGTATAATAAATGTTAAAGCTGCAACAGCTATAGTGCAAATTTTCACAAAAATAGATATAATAAATGTTAAAGCTGCAGCTACAGTGCTGCATGTTGGTTTTTTAAAAAAAATCAAATAAAATAAGTCCCGTTGATCTAGAAAACCAACTCTTTCTTTCAAAAAATGCAGAACTTTTTCTTTATCCACCAAATAATGCAATGAAATTGGGCAGGAAAACAACGATTGGCGAGAGTGAAAATGAAATTGAGTGGCTCGGCGAGCTCTTTCCGATGTCACGAATCGAGCTCGAGCTCGATTTTTGAGCTCGACTCGAGCTCTAGCTCGAGTTCAAACTCGATATTTGACTCGCGAGTTGAGCTCGAGCACCCTCTGGCTCGAACTCGAGTCGACTCGTTTACACCCCTATGATGAACCCCTCTTGTTATAATTGATAATAACCGTACCTATATAGAGGAGAAGGCTTTTTTTATGTTGAAGAGTTTCTTTTTGGCAATGAAACCCTTCAATTATGATATTTAGATAACAAAACCCATCATTGGGGTACGAGCTCAAATTATTTGCTATGTGAATGCAAGTTAATAATATTGGTAAATCTCTTCAGTTATGATGTACAAAAATCAAACACATCATCAGAATAAGGCTTGAAGTATTTGACTTGATAATTGGAGGGTATTTACTTACTTATTAATCCATCCTACTATACTATGTGTAATTATGCATCAAGTGCATGTGCATATATGCCCACGACCTAATTTGAGTTGTATGGTGAGCAAGAAGGGACTATTTTTTATCCTTTTTAATTAACTTGAAGGGGTTTTAACCTAAATGAAAACTTGTCAAACTAACCACCACCTCGAATATGTCAATTTGGACTCCTGGAGATAGCACATCAGTTAAACCAATCTAAAGTCACGTCTCAATTTAATGTTCATGGTTAATATCAGAATTCTCTCTTTTGAAGAAGTTGGAAGCTAATATTAAAACTGCAACAACTGTTTGTATGACTACTATACTATAACATGTCAAAGTAATAGTTGGTTTCTCTAAGCTATTTCAAATATTTTACTTCAAAAGTGGAAAAAGAAGCCTAACGAATACATTAGATTCTTACCAACTATGAGGTAGTTTTCATAAGGGGTTGGTGCATGTAGTCTTACACCTACTTAGGATGATAAATTTTACATAAAAATTGAAAGAAACATGATAACATATTAGATAGTAAGAATGAAGTCCCCAAGTAGTCGTTATGTTGTCATTTCAAAAAATAAAAATAAAAGGTAGTTGGTATGTTGTCAAAACTAACTTGATTTCCAAGTGATGGGATGGCTTGATGAACAATCCATTGGGAGTCAACCACACCAATTTTCATATAAGCTGGCTGCAGAAGATGCAAACGAAAAGTATCATCTTTAGGAAAAATAGTACATAATGGCAACTACAACAATTTATCCATATCTATGTCACTGATATCAAAATTATAAAAGTTCATTAAAAAAAAAAAATACTCAAAGCTGAAAAGCTGTGGAAGAGAAAGTTGAAGGAAAAATGATGACTTCTGACCTCTACACATCTGCTTAGTGCAAAGTCCAAGCCCCATCCATGAACCAAATCATTCTGAAGTATCAAAATACAGAAATTCGTCATTGGAATCATTACTTCACACGATGGAATACAAATATTAAACTATGATCATCTCCTTAACTCCAAGTAAATGTACCTGAAGCATATGCCACACGCAACGCCAAGCAGTTCTTGAAAAGACAGGGGCCATCATTTCCACAAAGCTACAAGAATGCATGAGGTGAATAGTATGAATTACAGCAAAAATCCATACAAGGTAAAATTAGAGGTTTTCTAGACTCCAGTGAACAAAATTCTGAGAAATGAATTTTGAGTTATGTGCTAATATGGATAAAAAAGACCAAGAATGGAGGTTTGTACGCTGCACATGGTGGCAAATGTGGATCAACGCACCAACCGGGATTCTCCGAGGTGTCCCTGCGAAAATTTACATTAAATACTCTGAGTATCAAGAAAGTCCACCAAAATCCCACCGACAGAACTGCAACCTTCATGTCAATAAGAAGACAAAACAATGGAAGAAAAATTGAAGTAAACCTACTTATGAACTTCACTGTGACCTCTCTTTTTGGTCATCTGCCATGATAACCTTCCATTGGGCTCCAGAGCTGGTTGTGATATCTCCAAGTTATATTTTTTCACCAGATGAAGATATCTAGCATATGAAAGAATAAGAAAAATTAGATAATCAGCCAGACGAACAAAGTGACTAATGCAGTAATGCTGCTGCAAATATTTTAATGATAAAATATAGTTTATGTATACTTCTCTGCATCAAAGTTTTTGAGTCCAAGATCCTCATCCCATACAAATATATAGTCATAAGCTGCTACAACATCTGGATGCAGAAAGCGTTTTGCATACCACCTAAGTATAAAAAGACACAGGAAAAAGTTACAAATCACAACACTGATATACAAGAAAAAATTGAATATTTATTTTGGAGACAGAAAACTGACATAGCCCGAGGATTCAAAAAGAAATAAGAACTGCCTAGGAATGCCCATAAAAGGTGAAAAACTATCTACTTGATTACCATTTTGCTTGCTTCCTCACACTGACATGAACTGCACGCTGAGACCACTCAAATTGCTCCCACTCGCTAGCTCGACCATCATAGTGGAAGAGCATGATTGTAAAATCCTTGGAGAACTACACAAAATGTAGAGTGAAATAATAATTTGAAATATTAAATGATAAGAAAGAAAAAGAATAATGCAATGGCCAACAAACCTTTTTCAGCGCTGCATCGATGTTTTTAGAGTGATCAAAACCGACTGCAAATGCTACCAAGTATTTTGGCCGTGTTGGGAGGTCCTGGAAAAGATCATTATATGGTAGATTTCTTAACATTCTGACTGAAATAACAACAATGAGGTTTTACTCTCCTTGGAAAAAATAAAATGATTTATTAAGGAGCAATGTGCAATTTTGAGCAAATGTTTTGAACTTAAAAACAAAATTGAGATTTTATGGTGTATATAATGACAAAAATGGTTGAATGATAGCATTTCTAAGGGGTATTTGAGTTTGATTTGAACAAATGGGAATTATAAAATGTTTTCATGCAAAAGGAAGGAAATTAGAATATTAATAATTCCCACCCAAAATAGTTGGGATGATGTTTATGACAATGATCCTGATTATGATGATTATCATATGTTTCATTGGAAATACTTTTGATTATAAATTTATTCTCTTTTATATGTTATTATTTGAAGTAAATTATTTAAATAAAAAAATTTGAAGTGAATTAGTCAATTTACTCTTGTTTGCTTCATTTAATAGCTTGTAGACTATTCACATTTTGACATAATTGTAAATTTCCAAGTATATGATGTACCAAAACTATTGCTTTCTTGAATATAATTCTAACGAATATAATACAGAAAGAGCATCTTCAAACCAGGTTGCTTTCATTGTGTTGCTTGATTATTTGATTAAGTGATCCTCAAGCAAAAACATTGTAGCAATAATTACAAGAGACAACCAAACTACTTCAGTTCAGCAATCAAGTCCAACTAAGAGAAACCAAATATGGGTAAACAATTAAAATGTGAAAACAAGAACAGATGATGATGGTATTTAAAACTAGAGAGGCTTTTCCAGTAAGAAGATACCTCGGCAGGGTCTCCCCATAACCTACGGAGATAGAAATCTGACTCCGAAACAATAATTCCAGGAGCTAGTGACTCCGCACCAGGAGGATTCGACTCCACATATATCTAGAAAAAAAAGAAATTGATCAAAATGGTCCCTTAACTCTTTATGAAGGACCAAAATGGCCTTAGACTAGAGTAAAAGCCAATTTGATCTCTCAAGGCTTTAAAAAAGAATCAAAATAGTCTTTGAGGGATAAAAATAGTTATTTAATATAGTTAGGAACTATTTTAAATCATTAGAAGAGAGCTGCAACATATGACTTTAAATCTTACTCAAATCACAAAAAGGCAGACAAATTGGAAGGAAAATGATAAAAATAAATGTCATTGTATTGCCAACAGTTTACAATACAAATCCTGGGTGGAAATATAAAAACAAGTTAGAGTTAAGCAAATAATACACAAAAGTGACGATATATGCTAACACCAATAGATAATCATGAAAAAAACAAAATTAACTAAAGCTATATTGAAGTACTAACATTCAAATATTTGAAGAAAAACCATCAAGAAAAGGCCTTGTCACCAACAGGTGAAGAGGATCTACCTTTAAACTGTCATTTGAACCATTTCTTTCAACAGATCTCTGGGCATTCAAACTGGATCTAGGTTTCGAAGGAGTATTCATCGAAAATCTACTGCTATCAATGAGTGCCATGTTAACTGACGACGAAAGACTTGACACTACACTATACTGCAAAGTACAAGCCTTGCTTCAGAATTTACACACCACAACAAAATTCATATCACATACTGATATAGAAGGGATTAGCAAAAGCATACCTTAGAGATGGACAAGCTTTCAATTGAAATTCCAAGGAAGAATCCAAGGGAAAGACCCAGTAGAGTAGTAACAACTAGTCTAAAACGGTCACTTGTTCTTCTACCTATTCCACTACTGTCATGATGAATGGATAAATAAATTCAAATTTCAATCCTTGGTGTGATATTCCGGCGATTAACGTTGCAAAAACATAGTGTATTTTGAAATAGCTAAAAAGGATAAAATCTGGAACCAAAGGAAGAGTACAATAAGAGAAAAAGTTACAAACTTGTGATGATTGTTTCCTGTCATACTGAAGTTTCTTAGCGCAATCGCAAACCTGCATCAGTCATACCATAGAAAGTGTTTAGCCTCAATCAAGCAACAATTAGAGCAGCAAAGAAAACAATCTACATCCTTAGAATTCCCTACCCAATAAATAAACATTCCTCTCTTTCTACTAATAAAAGCTCATTAAGATCCTTATCACAAAAACAAAATCAAGTATCATAAAAAGAAACATTTTAAATCGAACAGAACCTCCTAGGCTGAGTTCCCCGCTACTACTTCCCTAAGTGGTTGTTTGTTATCCTATTTTAGCTTAAATCTTGCCAAACTGAATTTTGGGGACTGCAAACTCTACAGTTTTAATAAATCCCAATTTGAACGATTAACTAAATCCTCCTTGTATAGCTAAAAAGCCCCTTTTTTTAGTCCATCTTAGCTAAAAAAGAAGAAGAAAAAGCATAAGCCTGCAAGTTGCAACACTTTTCCAAGTTTCACAATTTGTTTTTCGATTTACTCACATTCATCAGGAACCTCAAATATGAAATCACTCTATCCAGAAGCACCCTCATATGAAAGACATTAAAGCTACAAAAACAAAACAAACAACCCAACAAGAAAAACACTGAACAAACATAAATCATCTGCATTGGCTGTTTAGCGCACCTGTTATATGCGATCGTTAATTAAAAAAAAAACATTTTGTTTGAATTGAAATCTCCTCTGCATTTTCTTACTAAAAACTTCATAGGTGTACGATGAGAAAAATAAAAGAAGCATAAAAAGCAGAAAAAGCAGAAAAAAAAAAAACTTTGAAGGTCGTACATTGAACACAATAATCATCAACTAAAGATGAGAAACTTTCAGAAACCGTCTCAATCCCAACTCAAAATCAAACCTTTTTTTAAAAAAAATGACACAACTAAAAAAATCTGGTAACCATCGAGATCCAAAGTGACCTATTAGAAGATTCATGAAATGGAATTCAATCGTGAGAGAAAGAAACGAAAGTCAACAACCATCATCGACTCTGTAAACGGAGAAAATTTTCTCACCAATTTGATACTGTAAACGGAGAACTTCGTCAAATGCCTTGGAAGACCGATTACTATTTTTTTTATTTCTAAAGGTTTTCTCTCGTCTGGTTTTCTTGACTAAAGATTTCAATTTTTTCCCCCTTCTGAATCGGAGAAGTGGACCAAACGGCCGGCAAGGTGGCGTATTGCCAAATTTGCATGTAAAAATAAGAGAACCGCCATTGACTCTCTCAGCTTGAAGCCTGAAACAGTCTCTTTTTTTTTGGGAGTGGATGCAATCATGCAGATTGGATTGAAGCATATAGAATGGGAAGACCTTCTCTTGAAGATTTAATGAGTCTTTAGGGGGACTTTGTATGTCAATGCTATCATACATTTTAGAGGAACTCATCATAAATGAATATATATTAGGAGTATTTACATGCATACCTCTATATAATACTCATATTACATATTTAACATCCTAAATTTAAATATTTCATTTTTACCACTCAAACACAGACATAAAATCAAAAATATCACTCCAACTAAGAAAAAATTTGATTACATGTCGCCTGAGCCAGACTCCAGCGAAGTAGCTTAATGAAGATGAGAAGAATAAATCCCGAGTGAGGCGGCTGTGAAGAAGACTGTCTGCATTCGTTTGTAGAAATAGGGCAAGCTAGGCAGTTGACAAGATGGGCGCCACGCGAAATGTATCGCACGAACTTTAAATCCTGTTAAATTCGACCACCCCTCGGATTTACTAAATCCCGAATTTAAGCCGTAAATCCGGGATTTAATGCGCGCACAAAAACTGTTTGGCTGGATTTAGCATAAATTCGACTTAAATATTGTTGTAAATTCGATACCAAATAGCCCCGTATGTAAAATCAGTAATCATAAGCGTGGAAATATAAGTAATCTATGAGATTGCCAAAAGGCTAACTAAAACAATAGAAATCCACCCTCAAGTATTATTTTATTTTTTATGTACTTCTAAAATAAAATTTTATTTAAAATACTTATTAATAATTTCACAAAACAAACTTTCATCTTTGCTTAATGTATTTATAATAAATAATTCTTCAATAAAATTTACAATATTGATGGAAAATTTATCTTCCAGTTATGAAAATTTACAATGATAATTATTGCAAAGGTTTTTAGATTTTTAATTTTTTAGTGCAATATTGCAATTACAATGTAGCTATTATTATGTAAAAAAAGTTAAATAGTAAGAAAATTAAAGATAATTTTGTAAGTTTTTGAGGAGGTATCTGTAAAAATCAGATAGCAACTAACTCAGCAAAACCTTTTCTGTATCAGGTCTCGGGCTCGATAGGCGGAGAGAAGCAGCCGCCGAGAGCTCTGCCGTGCCCTAATTCCTGACCTCGAAGGCTAAAATTCTCGTTTTTGAGATGGCGAACAGTAAGTAATTATTGATTTTCTTCTACGCAATTGTGATTTATGAAATCTGGATCTTTTACATCGTTTTGTATCTCTGATTTGTTATTTTTTTTTTAATGGTAGCCATGGCGCGATCTTTTCTTCAAGCGGTAGCCACAGAGGAGGTTGCCCCGCCACTTCGAGTTGTCCAGATGGAAGGATTGGTGGGTTTTTTGGATTTCTGTTAATGTTTTGATCTGTGAACTAATTATCTCTTTGTTTTGGATGGTTTGTGGCATGGTTAAGAGATAAAGATTCTAATTGAGAAGCTTGAAGTAAAATGGATTATTTTGCCCATAAAATGTGAGAAAAGACATGCAGATTAAATCAATTAGCTTTAGCCTGGTTTCTTTTCTAAGATTTAGGGAAAGTTTGATGTATGGTGTTCAGTTCAATACTAATGGGTTATTTGATTCATTTTGTATTCTACTTGAGAAGCATCTAGCATGACTCATCAAATAATATTTTCTATGTTTTATTTCGCTATCTGAGGTTGCTACAATGGCGCATTTTTGGCTGCAATTATTCTTAGACTATTATTTGTTCTTTTGCAGGCTGTTCTTAAGATAATTAAACACTGCAAAGAATTCTCGCCTGCTTTGGTTACAGGTCAACTTCTTGGTTTGGATGTTGGTAGTGTCCTTGAAATCACTAACTGTTTTCCTTTTCCGGTAAGCATGCTAAATTTAAGTTACAATCATAGAAATTATATGATGCTGGCTTATTTCTTTAATTGAAGGGGTGTCTCCTTTATTTTTACCATGATTTCACTTCTAATGCCATGTTGAAGACTAGAGAAGAGGATGATGAAAATGAGGCGGATGGAGCAAACTATCAGCTTGAAATGATGAGGTGCCTAAGGGAGGTCAATGTGGACAACAATACTGTGGGATGGTATTTTTAGGCTTCCCATTTACTCAATCTCTTATATTGATTTATATTGAAACTACTATTAGTTAATCTATGATTGATAGAGTCTATTTCTATTTTTGTTCAATTGTTATCTAATTATCGATTTAACCACAAAGTTAGATCCTTATGTACACTTGAACCTAATAATCGTGACTGCTTGTTGCATTTCTTCTTTATCTATATTGACCCTGGCTAATTATTGGTTTGGTTCACATTAGGTTTGGTTCACATTAGCCAAAAAAAAAAAAAGTGTCAAAAGTTTGTTGAAGTTATGCAAGATATATATTATAAGCATTGATAATTATTAGAAGTAGTTGTGGATTGACCAAGCATTTTTAATTTCATTAGGTGTACATCAAAGTGAGTGTTGAGTCTATATCTTTTTAAATCAATTATGATGATGCTTACAGACGATATTTGAAGTGAGGCGCTTTAGTGTATATTTTTCTTTTGATGCATCTATAATTAGTGAGACATGCTGAAAATTAAAACGAGCAAAAAGTTTAAACAATTGAGAAAATGTTTGGAAGATAAATGATTTATAATTAGTAGAACAAGAATGTGTATGTTTAATGCAAATTTAATGGGTGTAATGTTAAGCATTAGTAATCCAATTTATTTCAAGATAAATAAATATCATGACATGATATAGATTTATGTACCTTGGATCTATTATACGAATGCATGGTGATATAGATGAGGAACTTCTGGCGTCAATTCTTTGTGGTTAAAATGGAGAAGGACCTCAATAGTATATGATGAGAGGATATTATGAAAACATATATGCAGTGTTTTTTTATGTTGCTTTGAGTATGGGTTGTGAAAAAGCATTGATATCTTAATGGAGTGTTGTAGAAATAAGAGTGCCAAGATGGGTGCGTGGCTAGAATAAAAAGAATAAATTAATGAATGACTACATAGGGGAATGGACAGAGTGACATCTATTTGAATCAATTAATTGAAAATATACTTGAGTGCTTTTGGTGTATGCAACAAACAGTAAAGCATATACCCCTACTTAGATAGGTAGATAAAATTAATGTTGAAGAATTAAGGAGGAGACGGGGTAGACTTAAGGTAAAAATAGTGAGAATTATTCAAAATAATTTATGAAAATTATGTTTAATATCTCATGTAGCATTGAATGAAAAATAAGAATTCATAAAACCAACCCGAATAATTAGAATAGTGCTAATGATGCTGCTGATGCACAAGTTTAGTTGACTGCGTAAGTCATAATTGTTGATAAGGTTTGTTGGTTGTTAAATAATTATCAACAAATAGTTAGGTTGTAACTAATCAATAAATTAGGGTTAAGTGTATTGTAATTTCCATTAATCCATGCTTAATAATTACATAATTAGTAAAATATTCAATTTTGTTAGGGTTGTTAATTCTCAATTAGCGATTGATCAATAAGTTAAATATATCAAATCTTAATTATTTTTTTATTCATAAATAGTTGCACTAGAATTTAATACTTAGGTTATATACATTTATAATGAGGTACGTTGGTGTATTTTATTTGCTTATAACATAATTCTGCTAATGAGGCTGAGGCTTCTATTAAAATAAGCAAGAGTTTAGAAAATAGAGAGAAATAATAGAAGATATGGGGATTCAAATTAGTAGAATAAATATTATATATTATAAACTCTTATCCATTAATATTGTTGGCAAGATATGATAGTTTTAAATATACGAGATCTGTCATAAAAAAGAATGAGGATACTTATGAAAATATTGATCTAGAGTAATGATTGAGGGTTTTAAATGGAGAAAAGACCAAAATGATAAAAAAGAAATAGCATATTTACCAAATTGGTTAGATCTGTAATGATTCTGTTGATGTACCTATTATGCTATATGACAGTAGGTGCTTTAAACATGGTTGCAAACCTATTTCTTACCTTAAATTTAGGAGAAAATACTAAGAAGTGTGTAGACTTTTTGGCGACATTCTCTTTTGAGTAAATAAGAAGTTAGCTGAAAGATAATAATTCTAAGAACGGCAACAAATTGATTTAGAATTTAAATTATTGCTCGTGTTTGAGATGCTTGTTAGATTTCCTAGGATTGAGTTTATTGACTGACTGATCAATCTATGCCATATACATAGGTTGTTCCTAAGAGAGTAACCAGCGACGTGGAAACAATGGAGATTATTTTGCCATTAGTTTACTCATCTAGCCACTAATTTGACTAAAACCATGGGGTTATCAACTTGACAACGTCAAGAGGTCTTCAACAGGATTTTTTTTATTGGCAAATGCCCATGTCAATTATATTGTTTTTAGTGTATTTGGCAGAAATAAGTTAATTGAAACTAATTATGATAGAAATTATTTAATTTGGACTTAGCTGCTATTTTTCTGTTTTGTCTTGAGAATGTTGATTTCCAAATTGGCTTTTATATTCTACATTATTTCTATCACTCGTGATCTGATTTTATCTATTTATTGAAACTAATTCTATGTGTGTTCTAATTATTTCCATTTCTACTATGTTATGGTGTCAGTTTAATGTTGTTTTGTTTTTCGTTCTTTTTAGGTATCAATCAACTTTGTTGGGATCTTATCAGACTGTAGAGCTTATTGAAACATTTATGAACTATCAGGTCTTGCATTCTTCCCCTTCTGTTGTTTTTTTTGTAATTTCTTGATGCTGTTACTCTTTAAAACTTTTGCGCCTCATTTTTATGTTTAACAGTGCCCCAAGCTTTTAGCTGGTGTTTTTTCCTACATGGAAACATTTTGTCTTTTCTTATTTAACTTCTTCTTTTGCTTTGTTTTGGCATAGAGAATAATGTTTTTTAAAGAAAGATGGGCAATGATGCATCTCAGAATTGTAATTATTGCATGGGATTCACGAGTTTTAATAATGTTTGATTCTTCTATTTTCTGTTGCCTGTGGCTAAGGAACTTTTAGCTTTTGCAATTCCTTTGCTTTTGTGATTCCTCAACTTTTGTAATACCTTTAGCTTCATGTGACAATTATATGTCATGACTACGCTATTTTAAGGTTAAATTCTTATCAAAGGATCATGAATATGCCGTCACATGTGGGCTTTTTAGGCATTTCTTTGCTTCTATGCTAATTCACTATTATAACTTTTGATATTGGTTCAAAAATAATTCAGTAAATTATCTTTTGATTATAATTTATAAGTTTCTTTAAATTCATGTGTTCCCAATGAACAATTTTGGACTCAAAGCGATGCCTTAAATGCCACGCTGAGAACTGAGTTATAAGATCAACTTCATGTAAACATAACCTCTAAGAAGAACATTGTGGATATTCCATTTAAGAGCTTGAACTCGAACCGTCATCCTTCCCGACTTTAAAAACTACTACACATTACCACTGGGAAGATGATGGCGTATATGCATCATATATGATCCATTTTATTTTGTACAGGAAAATATTAGGCGCTGTGTTTGCATAATATATGATCCATCAAGGTCCAATCAAGGTGTACTCGCTCTCAAGGCATTGAAGCTTACAGAATCATTTATGGATCTATATCGTCATAACAGTTTTATTGGAGAGAAGTATGGGGTTGTCTTTGTCTGTTTCTTGTCTAAGAAAATGGCTTCCAGTTGAGTCTAACATGCTTCTATTCTATCTTCTTTTAGGTTGAGGGAGAAGAAATTGTCATGGGTGGATATCTTTGAGGAGATACCTGTACGCTGATTTCACTTGTTTTTCCCTTCTGAGTTCTCATACCTTACATTTTGAGTTTCAAACTTCAAAGTTATATTTCCTACTGTTATCGATATTTTTTTTAATAATTTTTCCCTGAAATTCTATATTTTGATCGAAAGTAATCTTTTCCATCCAGTTTGGAGTTAGAATATTTAGTAACAATTTTGTTCTGTACTGTACAGATTAAGGTTTCTAATTCTGCACTTATTAGTGCATTCATGACAGAACTAGAGCCTGATTCTCCGGTTGTCCAGGTTTGTCTTTTCTTCTCTGCTATGCTGCTTTACTGATTCAGGTTATACTGCATACTTGTCTTTTCTAAGATGTCAAAAGTTCTTTGCAGTGTGATCTTGATCGTCTAAAGCTATCAACTGCACCTTTTATGGAAAGAAACTTGGAGTTTTTAATTGAATGCATGGATGATCTTTCTTCTGAACAAAATAAGGTTTGATTTGCCTTGATAAGATTGTTTGTTTTCTTATATCACTTCTCAAACCATTTTAATTGAAGTCTTCTTGGCTTCTTTCAGTTCCAATATTATTATCGGAACCTCTCTAGGCAACAGGCACAACAACAAACCTGGCTCCAAAAACGAAGGTAGTGGAACTCATATGAGCAGTCTTATGAAGTGGCTTTTTGTTTTAAGAATTAAGGGTGGGGGGGGGTGAGCACATGGAATAAGGGTTCTCATCTATTCTTTTATGACCCTTAGATTATAATCCATGTGTCTCCTCTTGCTATTCTAGCTCGCTGGCCCCTATTGGGGGATTTTTCCTTTTTTAATAAATAATTTTGTTTTATTTTTATTATAAAAATTTTGGGGAGGTTTATAAATACTTCAACATTTTGTACATAATTAAACAATAAAATTCAAAGTGATTTTTTTCTATTTTTCTACAAATATAAATATTAATCTTACTGTTGTGTGTCGTGCAAAGACTAGATGGTGAAATTATAGCTTTAATGTATATTTCAATTCAAAAATTTTGATGTGCTTCCTGAATAAGAGGGGGTGCATTAAGTGACCTAACTTTTTGTGGATGCGGAAAATTTATCTTGTATGTGAAAATTATTGTATCTGTTTATAGGACGGAGAACATTGCAAGGAAAGCAGCGGGAGAGGAGCCACTGCCTGAGGAAGACCCTTCAAATCCAATTTTCAAGCCAATACCCGAGCCTTCTCGCCTAGATAGCTATCTCATAACAAATCAAGTTGCTAACTACTGCAACCAAATCAATGGGTATGGTTTTAAATCTTATATAGTTCAAACTTCTTTACTAGATTCACTTTCATTAATTAATAGTTGCAGATGAAACAAACCAACTATTTTATGTTTTTTATTTCAGTATCTACTAATGCTTTGACTGTGCTTGCATCTCCTTTATACTTGTTGCAAGTTAATCTTGGAGATGCTTGCAAATGTGTTAAAACTGACCTAACTTGCATATGCTATTATTTGAATATGACATTTTTCATAGGCGTGTCAACTTCTGAAGTGAGTGAAAATGTAGAACAAAGAAGAAAATTTTTAAAATTATTAAGATTAGTAAAACAATGGTTAACTATATGGTATATGTAATTTATTTGAAAAAAATTGATTACTATGATAATTGTTGCTAGAAGATCAACTAATTCACCAATGTAATAGGAATTGAGTATCTTTGGTCTAATATACAAATCATGATGATATTAACGAGGACAACTTCAAAAGCTAAAACTTGGTGGTTGAAATGGAGAAGCGACTCAAAGGTGAAACTATTATGCTGATGTTAGATAAAGTTTATAAATTATAATTCAATTGACTATGAATTTTTTATCTAAAAGATGGGCAACTAAAACTCATTAATAACCAAATTAAATGTAATAGAAATGAAAATATTATGATGGAAGTATAGTAGAACTGATGCAACAAAAAAAAAAACACAAACAACTTATATGATTGCAAACTAAAAAAATGTCATCCTTAAACATAATCATGACAAACATAAACCATAAAACTTATATATATTTTTGAGAAGAAGAATACAAGTGAGGTGGGAGCCATGGATAGAGAAGAAGGGATTAGAAAACCGAGGCGAAATATAAGAGGGGAAGGAGGCTAACTCGCAAGCTAGGGAAACCCGCATGTTTCATTTTCCAAAAATTATCATATCCATTACATACTTCTTGCAGAAAAAACAGTCCCTTGTATATAGGGAAGAAAAGAATAAAATGTTTAATGCAAGGTAATTAAAACACCTCCAAAACAACCACTAGAATTTCCTTGAAAACCATAGCAAGAAGGAACCGAAGGGGCAGACACCTGGGGAAGAAATTGAAGCAACACAGCAGCCATGGACACAGTTAACCTTGGACAGCTACCAAGGGGGGAATCCGAAGCAACACCAACAGGGAAAAGGGGAAAAACCAAAGCATAACAGCCCCCAAGATGGGGGAAAACCGAAGCATTACTAGGGGGAATTTGAAGCATCATGCGGCGGCAAAAAGTGGGGAAAATCTGAAACTTGCATACATCAAGAACTAAAAATGATAGATTGAAAAATGATTTTGTTATAGGGAAGGAGTAGCACTTATTGGAAATATTATTGTAGAAAATAGCTTTGAGCAATTTTTAATATAGGAGAAATTATTTTGTGCAGATACCAGACCGCCTGGAGGCGAATCAGAGTTCGTCACGTCACCTGGTACATAGTGGGTACATAACAAAAAGGGTGACGTGGCGCGCTCTGATTCGCCTCCGGACGGCGTACGTATCCGCACGGAATAATTTCACATAATGTAGAGGGCAGAATTTGCATCATTGTATTAGAAGGGAGAATTAATGCTTAAGGATTAATGAGGAAAACAAAGGCCTATCAAATGTAGCATGGTTGATGATTGTGATTATGCAAAATTAGGTTATTATAAAATAATCAACAAGAAGATTGGAAAATAGTTCATTAGTCCAACACCAAAGAGTTGGATGAGGTTGATAATGATGATGATGATAGTTATGGAAGGCTACTCTGGACTTCAACTTTCTTGACCTCTTCTTCCATAGTAACGTCAGCCATCCATTTCTTCTTAGTAGCTCCTTGCTGTTGTGCATATTGATTTGTGATCAACTGCTACTGAATGCTGATTGCTGAAGCTTTCAAAATGTAAACTTGCAGGGCTGCTGGACAGAGCTTCAGCAAATTATATCTGATGAAAGCCTTGCAGGATAACTGAATCTGTTCAACAAAATTATGTGATTATCTGAACTTTTTTTTTTTTTGGTAGCATTAGATCCCACTCTTTTTAGTCTTTGTTTTAATGTATTTCAGGTGCACAATCCAAAAAATTTGAATTTTTTGGACTTGGTAGTTGTCATTAAGGGTGGTTATCTTCTATAGAAATTCAGATGATTTTTATTTCATTGTTTGTGTTCGCATTTATGATTTAGGCTTCGTTTTGGACGGTTTTTTTACTGCTTCTTAAAGCAGCTTTTTATTACAAAGTTTGTAAATTTTGTACTAGAAAGTTACTTTAAGAGCAATAAAAAAGTCGTCCCAAACGAAGCCTTACTCTTTATATTGGATGGGTTCTAACTTTCTCCGTTTAGGTTAGGGGTATAAATGAGTTGAGTTGAGCTCGAGTCACTCTTGACTTGAGCTTAGAGCTTAATTTTATAAGTTTGAGCGTGCTCACTAGCTAACTCATTTATTATGAAAGAAAATGATTAAAACTCAATGAATTATCATAATAAAATTATAAATGAGTGATAAATTAAAAGAAAAATAATAAATAATATTATATTTAAATATTTTTATCAATTTTGTATTTAAATTCATGAATGTTAATTTTTATATTAATATTTTTTTAACCACGTGAGCTCGCAAGCTAATCAACTGATTAGAGGTTTGCTCAACTTTGCTTATTAGTTCATTGAGTCAGTCTCATGAGCAATTTAGCAAGTTGAGTTTGAGCTAGCTCATAAATTAGCTTGACTCACTTACACCTAATATGAGACTTGGAATTAGTCTATATTACTCTCCTCTATATAAGTTGAGTTTTTGCTGAACACATGGAGAGATTATTACGTGCGGAGTTCGGACATAGAGAATTGTTCGGTTTTGTGATTGTGAACAGTAAAAATATCGTTATTGTTCTCTATGTTTTTACTATTCAGCGTTGTATTTTTACTATTCACAGTAACAAAATCAAACTGTTTCTACATCCTGACGTTGAACGTCTTCAACATATGAGAGTATTTATAGACTAACAATGCCTTGATATAATCTCACAAGACCCAAAATGTTCCTAAAGGATCTTCCCTCTCAAATGCCTAGCAAAAGGCTTCACAAGGAAACTCCAATGGCTAGCAAGCTAAAAATTTATGCAAGTATTGCTAAGAAGTATTGAATGAAAAGATGGAGAAATAGAGAGAGAAAATTCTAGAGTGAGAAGTTTAGCACTAATCTTGATGTTGAAATGGGTGGTTGGTAAGCATCAACTGACACTTGACTTTCAATCCACAGCTATTACTAATTCCAACCAAATTACTATTTCTCCAAATAGGTTCATAACTTTCTCATACCTAACAAGATGCAGTTTATGCTGTACTGAAGATCTGAGTGAAGAAAAAAAATATATTTTTAATGATTTCTTATGGTATTTATTTTTAAATTTTAAGATAATAAAAATATTCCTTCTTCAATTGAATTTAAATTATTTAATAGATTTAAATAAATATTTTTCTTGCCAAAGAAATTGACGTAAATGTATCATTATATATATATACTTGACGTAAATTATTTAAGATTTAAATAATATTCTTATATAATTTGAGCACTTGAGAAAATTTTAAGGGACAAAATTTATCCTCTTTAGAAGGTCAGTTAAATACTTAGTACTAACAAAATTTTTGCTTTTTTGTGAGGACTCGATTTTCAACTATACGAACTCTTTCATAAATGTCTCTATAATGACTCTCCATGCAAGAGAAGGGATGATGAAGTCGTACATGTTGAATCATTTTTCTTCATTGTGTTCTGTTAAGAGTCAATTTCTAATTTAAATCTGATAAAAATATCAGTTCTTTCAAAAAAAAAAAAAGAACGAGCAAAACCCTTTCAAAAAAGTTTGACAAAATTCGTCCAGCATGTGTTAAAAATAACCCTACAACTACAAAGATTGAAAAAAATAAAACGCGGCGACAATCCAATAAGAAATTAGCGATAAAGGTCCTCATGTTCATAACATCATTTTTTTCGCAAATCCAAATCCATTCCCTAAAAAAACTCCGAGAAATTCTTAATAAAAAATAGCAAATAGCCTAATTTATCCCCTCCTCTCTTCATCTTAAGTAGGAGCATAAGAGAAACTAAAGCTTCGTTTGGGACGGCTTAAGCAGTTTCTTAGTATAAGAATTTTATTTATTGTACTAAAAAGCTATTTTAAAAAGTAGCAAGAAAGCCGTCCCAAACGAAGCCTAAATCAATGAGCATGATAGAGACCTCTTATATGAGACTCCATTACATACTTTGCATATTCAAAATCTATGTTTTCATTCATTTCCTTCACTTTCATTCAATCCAAATAAAGCCATAATGTTTTGTCATTAGGAAAGGAACTCAGAATAGATTAATGGTGCAAAGCAAAATGTAAAAGAAGGTAACAAAATCATATTATCAGGTAAGGGTTATTTACAAGAGAAGACAATGAAAGTATCCAAATGCCCACTCATAATAACTACAAGAATGATAATAAAGAAGCCATTAATGGAGCTTGATCAACTTTTTAAACCCTAGCTTGCGCAAATAGGGCCTCTATACACAAGCAAATAATAAGAAATATAATCTAAGCTATAATTTAGCATTTTGAAGCCGCTAAACTATGAAGCAAATACCTCTACTTCACCATCATCAGAGGTAGATGGTGAGCCACATGCGCCTCTTTCAGGCTCCTCCACATCACTGCCTCTCATCTCTATCCCTGATTTCCTTCTTCTTCCTCCTCCAATCCTTCTTTGGAGCTCTGAACATGTAAGAATACCAGTGTTAGATGTTATGTAGTTTGCATTTAAGGCTTCGTTTGAGACAGCTTTCTTATTGCTTTTTAAAATGGCTTTCTAGCACAAAAAATTCTTGAACTCGAAATTTTTGTACCTGGAAGTTGCTTTAGAAAACAGTAAGAAAGCCGTCCCAAACGAAGCCTAAATCTTATTTCATTTTCCTTATTGATTAAATTCATGATTTGTTAAATCAGATCATTCACAAGATTTAATGGATTTAATGGTTGATTAGCTGTAAGTAGGATTAGCGAATATTGTAAATGTTAATTTAGTAAATCTTAAGAAGATTAAAATGGGAGAACTATTTGGTATGACAAGTATTAAATTCTAACAAGCTATTTGTTTTGAGACTTAAGATTTATGAGAGGATGAATCCTTAAATACTTTAATTTTTGTTAATCTTGTGAATGATGATACTTAAAACATCTCGGATTTAATCAATAATGAAGATGAAAAGAGATTTTTAAAAATAATAAGATTTAAAATCCCCATAATTCTATTTGGCAGGATTTAAACTATGTTTTGCTTAAATCTTGTCTAAAATAGGATACTTAAGGATCTCTCCTTCTCACAAATCTTAAATCTTGAACAAATAGTAAAATAGTTTATCAAGATTTAGTAGGATTTAACAGTTAACATGCCTAATAATTTTCATGTTTTAACCGTCAAAAGATTTAGGCTTCTTTTGAGACAAACAGCTTTCTAGTATAAAAAATTATAAATTTTGTACTAAAAAACTGCTTCAATAAGAATGTCATCCCAAATGATGCCTAAGTCTAGATTGTAGCACTTACTAAATCCTACTTATAGACAAACAAAGGACTATATAAAATGAAAACAAACGATCATTCATCATTACTTTTATGGTTGATTGCATTGCGTGTGATTGCAAGGAACTCTTCCCAGTTATAGTGGCTGAGCTCATGTTTCTCCTCCTCAGGAAGTTCAAAATTTGGTTGTCTGCCACACATAAAAGCCGCTCTGTGGACAGAAGGTTATCATTTGGTTAAAACACATATAAACTGCTATAAATAATATGATGACACATATTGTATGGACTATTAGTATTTAAGAGAAAAAAATAAGATATGTTCAACTTAATAAAAAAATTTTTGAAATTAACTAATCTAATGAATGTTCTTCGCTCCCCTAACAAAAAACCAAATCTAATAGAAAGTTTTATAGATTTTTTGAGTTGATGTGCACAAATCAAGTCATCAAGTCCAATTGTACTAAGTTGATGCTAACTAGAAATGATTTAGCAATTTTGGTCATATTTGTATTGAAGTTTTCAACACATTTAGGTTTCGTTTGGTTGCTTCTTAAAGCAGCTTTTTAGTACAAAAATTAAATTTTTTATACTAGAAAGCTGCTTTAAGAAATAACAAGAAAGTCGTCCCAAACGAAGACGACTTTCTTTCTGCTTATTAAGCAGCTTTTTAGCATAAAAATTTTAAATTTTATGCTAGAAAGCTGCTTTATGAAGCAATAAGAAAGCAGTAAAAAACGAAGCCTTAATCAATAGGTCATCTCTAGTTTGGTCAAATCTACACCTAATTACAAGAAGTCAAACTAGGCCATAAGGGGGTTGAACTTGGCCTATGTCTATAACTTATTAGGCTGGTATTCAGTCACAATCAAATTTCCCTTTTTCTTCTGCAATTATCCAAGGTTTAGTTATCCTCTTGGATAAAACTATGATTGGATTTGAATATTTTGATAGGATTGGATTTAATTTCAAATAGAATTATATTTGATTTTTAAATTATTTTGCCTTATAGTCTTATTTTTATAATAGGGATTGATGGTTCGTACTCACATTGACTATTGGTGATTGAATAAATGCAATTTACTAGTGAGGCCAACTAGAGGTTCTCTCTTTAGATCAACTTTTATACACATCGTTCTATATACATAGAGTTCCTTCCTCTTCCCTAAAAAAGCATTTTGTTTAGATTGAATTGCATTAGTAATTTTTATCATATGAAAATCTGATCATATTTCCAGAAGATATGTTAAAAGGAACCATATAATGATTCATAATTTGTTTGTTAAGGCACAAAATTCATCTTTAAAGAAAAAACAAATAAGTATAACTTGATTTGCAGAAAATCTTCTGTTCGAATAATTAAGCAAAACTAATCAATATATCATATGATGATAATCTGAACATATTTTCACAAAATAGGTTAACAAGTTCCAAAGGATCATTTAGAACTTGTTTCGAAAGGAACGACGCTCATATAACAACAACAACATCAAGCCTTTATCCCACTACGTGGGGTTGGCTGTATGAATTATTTTTCTCCATTGTGTTATGTAAAGAGTAAAATTCTCATTTAAATCTAATAAAGAAAGATCATTTCTAAAACTTTCTAACCAAATCTTTTTAGATAGATCAAATCTAATATATCTATTCTTCTAATTGGATCATCAGAATGAAGCCCATCTTTAAATAAAAAGAAATAAGCATATCTTAATTAGAAGAAAATTTTTCTATTTCATTAATAAATAAGCTAATCAGAAGTTTTTCAAACATTCCAACTGGTTCCTTTCATAAAAGAATCATGTAAATGGTAAATCAAATAATAAAATCATAGAGACATGATAACCTAATAAGTCTTTTATTTGAAGTACCTGTCATACAACCGTGCTGCATCTTCTTGGGAGCCCACAGTGCCTAAGTGGATCTGCTTCTTATCAACTTTGATAGCCGCCTGCCATTTCATGTTTTTGAAATAAACACCTCTCATTACGCATGGTTCTTGGTCTTCATAGAGTTTTCTACGGTATCTCTTTCTGTGTTTCATATCTTTACCTACAGAAAGAATTTTTTGAACTTTCATCTTGGATTAATTGCATCATTAAGTATGCACATAACATTACACTACAACATTTAATGCTTGTAAATTACTTGAAAATATTTGTATAATTCTCAGCTCGTATGCTGCATTTTGGGTTGCTTTTCTCAATATAGCATGCAAGATATAACAAAGTAAGTTAGAACTTAACAATAATATTGACTAAACAAGCAAACATAGATGAACGAACAAGACATCTGCAAGTGCTATATGAGTGAACTCAATCAACAATCTATTAGGACGGTTCCTCCTGAACTAGCCCCAACTCCTGAACCAGTCCACTCAGGGCCGGTTTATGTTTATAGGAGGCTGGCTAATACTGTCTCCTCTCTCCTTCCGCCCACAATAATGGGTCCCACTATTCAAATTTAATCTAAAGGGGGAAAGGAGGGGGCGGCTAGGGCTTTGGAGGGAGTTTTGATTTAGAAAGTTTATGGATTAAATAGGAGGAGGTGTTTTAGGGTTAGGGCATGCTTTGATTTGTTTCTCTTGTAGTTCATTGGCGTCTTGGGCTCTAGACTCCTTGTCTAGAGATTGGGAGAGAACGATCCTCTTCTCGAATTGAGGATCACTTGTATCTTGTTTTGAGTTTGTTTGGCTTTGATTCTATTATTGAAATCCATCACTTTGGGGCTGATTTCACCCAGATTTTTGCATTATTCTCGCTGTTTTCACCAATTAGTGATAGGTTTGCTTGTGAACTCAAGTATTTCCCTTAGGGTTACTTGTGAACTCAAATATTTCCCTTAGGGTTATTTGCAAACTCAAGTATTCGCTATCACAATCTTATTGAAGTGTAATGTACTAATACCGACAAAAAATTTAATTTAAAGGAATTATCTCTACTGAAGAGCTTCTTTCATGAAGGCAGTTATTGAAAGCAGCAGTTAAGTCTGGTGTTGGGAGAAGAGGATCATAAAAATGTTCAGTTCAGTTGGCGACACAACAGAAAATCTCAACCAACATCACCCTCATCTTCTTTCTCTCAACTTTCAGAGGAAGGGAAAGCTTGCTGAGCAAATACAGAAGGCCCTTGTAAGAATTAACGGAAAGAAATATCAAAGAATATATATGCAAGTAAAAGCAATTTGCCTAAACCAACATTCATGGGATGTGCTAAAAAGAAGGAAGCCCGAGGCATGAGAAAATATTAAGGGTTCTACAATCTCTAGAACATTTTGTTCATTGTTTGCAAAGAAACAAGAAAATGGGAGGAGTTCGAAAAAATTAAGCACACAAAGTACGCTATAAAAGCAGCCGTAGTAATTGGGAATCTAAAAAACAAAATTTATGTCTATGCCATTGTACCCTTGCATAAATTGGATAAATGTATAAACTCTGATCTTATTTATTGGATATCCAAGTGCAATAATCAAATAACAAATGGTGAGTTCATAATTAATGATAAATCAAAATCAGAGAATTAATATATATTACCAATCCATCATTCAAAACTTCACCTAAAGACTTACTATCCCACAACAACAAAAGAGAAAACTAACCTGGAAAATAGTTATCGATTTCCTCCTTTGGCGAGCTTGTAGCAGACACAACTGAAGATCCAAAGCTTATTTCATGAATATTTGTCTGTGAAGCAGACAAAAGAGAGTAAAAAGAAGGCAATATTAAACACAAATATTCAATAACATTTCCCTTCAAATGGAGAAAAAGCAAATTCATAATGATACACTTAAATAGGAAAAAGCTATAAAATTCAAGAATAGAAGCGTATTAACCAGTCATTAGACCGGCCCACTTCTAAGCGAGGCGGTACAGAGCCCGTCTCCCGTCCCTACATCTCGACCGCAGGGGCCAACAAAGCTGTTTAGGAATGATTTTTAAGGAGTTAGGAGGGAAATTTCAAAGTATGGGTTGTTTAGAGATTTCCTTTTGAATTTTATGTATTAAGTTGTATGTTTTGCTAGGATTAGGACATCTTGAATTTGTCTGGAATTTGAGATTTCTCTTAGGTTTTAGGCTCTAACGATGTCTAAAGATTTGGGAGGGTCAAATCTTCCTCTCCAATTAAAGATCCACTTGTATTTTGTATTTTCTTTCATAAGACTTTCAATAAAAAAGTGTCCTTACATGTTCTATTTCTAGTTTTCTTGTTGTTGGTTCTCTGAAATTGTTGAAATCATATATCAGCCAAGGCTTTTCCTAAATTTCTACAAGCACTTCCTATCAAAGCGCAGTGATGTGCACCCATTAATGAACTTCATGAAGCCCTCACACGTCATAATGGAGCTGATTTGAGGAGCTTTGCATCAGATTGCTTAACTTCAAAAGCGCAGATGAAGAGAACTTTTGACAATAATGGCAATAATTTTTTAAAACTCTATGTTGTGCCAATGGACTATGTAATACAACAACAAGCTAAACAAGTGGATAATAATATCATAGAGAGCATCACAGGGAGTACTAACAATATCGGTACTAAAAGAATGGGACAACCTAATGCTCTATTTCAACACTGTTGCCATTCCAATTGAAGAAGGCCTTATGAAAGCATTAATCAAAGAACAAATCCCCATAAAAAGATTTAAATTGTTTGAATACAAAAGATATAAAGAAAGAATAACATGATTAAGATAGAAAGAATAAATGTTGATATGTACTTACTGGCTTTTCACGACTTATGCTAATTAATGGCATAGGATGAATGCTGAAAGGATTCACATTTCTGCTCAGGTTTAGAGCACCACTACTCTCATTGGAGCCTGGCAATTCAACTGGAATGGAGCTTTTCCCTGAAAAACAACCAATTCAATAATATCAGATGAAAAGAGTTCAGATGACTACACGAGCATCGTTCAAGGAGCATAAGTATGGAGAGCCTATTCATCATCTGACCATCAATTTCTTTTTGTTTTAAAAAAGAAAGCCTCATAGAGACTGAGAGTAGTACCTAAAAGATAACTAACAACATCAATCTCAACATATCAATTTTTTTTTCATTCATCAACCAAGCCTTTCTATTCATAATTTGATCAAACAAAATAAAGTTATAAATGAAAACCTAAGCCATGAAAATATGAAGAGAAAAAAAAAACAGTTTTCATTAATTTTAGTACAAAATAGTAGGAAAATAAGATATCTTTAAAATAACAAAAGCAAACCACCGCACTTGAAAGGGGGATAAAAAAACACCCTCATTTAAAATGTTATTTAAAAGTGCATGATTAGACTAATTGAAAGATGAGTTGATAGTTATACCAGAACAAAGCCCCAATAGTCTTCGTCTCCTTAGGCTAACCATGGCTCACAGCAGTATTGCTGTAATGGAAGGAAAGGAGATTAAACAATTGACATAAAAACTAAATCATGAGGAACAAGTGAAATCTTAAAAAAGAAAACAATGCCAGCAATCATGTTCGCATATTAGGTTCAAGCAATAGTGTACAAATGCAACCAATACCTATGGATCTGTAATTTCTTAAACATCAAAATTCTTAAAATCCTAGCATGTGTGAGTGATGCAGCAAAAGCCCCACATCAAACCCAAGCTTAGATACATGACAAGATTCCAGAGAAAATTGCATTCAGATTAATTTTAGGTGCATTAGGAAACCTGGACCACAAAGTGTAAAGACTCCAACTTTAACATCTGCTAAGTAAATATTCCTCTTAAGAAAATATACTCATTAAACTAAGGCCTTTTGCTTGTATCAAAAATCATTCAAGTCAACTGGCAATCATATAATCCCATAGAACAAATCATAAGACCAAGTTATGAAACTATTTTCACCTAATAACAATATCATTAATTAAAGAAATATCATTCCATCACTTACTGATGAAAAAATTGAACATTTTATACAGTCCAAGTAAATAAGGTCAAAGCTTGACAGCACAAGAAGTGAAAACAATATCAAGAAACACATGATTTTGTTAGATCGGCCCCTAGTGGACCGGTCCAGCCGGCCCCTTCTGGTTCACGTTTACAGCAGGAGCGGTGGCGGCAAGAGAGAGAGAGATGAAATTCAAATTTGGAGCCAAAGGAGGAGGCGGCAAGGGCCTTTAGGTCTTTTTTGTCTAATTGTTTTAATTGTATGTCTTAATTATGGGAGGAAGATTAGGGTTAGGGTTATGTTATGTTATTGTGTTCTTGTGAGGGTTCTTCTTGGTGTCTTGGGCTCTAGATTCATCATCTAGAGATTGGGATAGAGCAATCCTCCTCTCGAATTGAGGATCAATTATATCTTTGTTTGTTCTTGCTTTTGGTTTGATTCCTATAATACAATCTACTGATTTGGATTGTTTTCAGTGGAGATATTACGATTTTATCGCCGTTTTAAATCACTCTTGTTAGTGTTTACTTGAAAAACTCAAGTAATTTCCTATCAGATTCCTCAAAAAATTAATAATACTGCATGAGAAAAAGGAATATCTTCATGAATAATAAGGAAGGTCTCAACTCTCAACATGCCAGGTAAATCTGAATGCTTTGGTATACTTCAAATATTTTTACAAGTCATTTCGGATTAGGATTCAAATAGTTGAGACTCTAATAAAACCTCCACAATGCAATGAACTGAAAGCCAAACAGAAGATTAAAAAAAATTAATGAAGCATGTCAATGATTAATTAAGAAAATTGAAGGGGTAACCCGCACATAGAATTATCATAATCATTTAAAGAAGATTAAAAGATAAAAGGCCTGCTACTAATTTCTTTACAAATATAAAATAAATAAAAAATCTCAAACAGGTTTCCATCTATTCACTTGAAGTTCCTCTGTTATCTTTCCCTATCAACCCAAATTCATTAAGCTGATCAACCAAATTAAACTACTCAGCAACCAGCAAAAAGCTCAAAGTGAATATAAATGTAAGAATTCAAACTTCAGCAACCAGAAAGAAACTCCTAGTGAATAGAATTTTAAAAATTCGGTCTGCAAATCATATAACTAAGTTCAAATTCACCCATCAACCCAGCAAAAAAAGAAAAAAAAAATCAACCAGTTTACCCGTATCATCCCAACAAAAAATCCATACAAGCTCCCATATCTTAGGAAGAATCCAAATCCATTCCATAGATGAACCATAAAAACGCAAGAAATAGCCATCGACATCTTAACCACCATTACAACCACCATACAGTCTGCCGGCCTATCATCTAACACAAAAAACTCACCATTCCTCCAACACCAAAGCTCAATTCCAAGACAAAAAAAAAAAAAAAAAAACAAAAAAAAAAAAAAAAAAAAATCAAAACAAGATTTAGCTCAAGCAGAGACACCAACCAAACATCCCACATCCATCAACCACACGAATCTCCTTCACCTAACAAAACCCCCCACCCACCAATCAATCCACCGCTTTCCACAACGCAAACGCCACCCCAATCCTAAAACCAGCAATCCATCTATCCAATTCATCTCCCAGAAAACCAAAGCAAAATCCATAAGACGTACGCATCAAAATCACAGCACATAAACCCCGGTCGATTAAAAAAAAAAAATCAAAACACGCGGAACGCTCAAAACTCAACCCAAAGCTCGCACCTGTCTCAGATAAACCTCTCCGGCGAGAGGATATCCGCCACCACAGAGGTCAGTGAGCGGCGGAGACGATGTCCTGCCACTCGCGGCCACCACCTTCCCACTCTCCTCCCCCGTTCACTCTCTCTCCTCTCCTATTTATTAACCTTTTCAATTATTTTTCTATTCGGCTTTCCTTATATATATATCATGGAACGTTATTCCCATCCTACCCCTCCACCTTTGCCCAAAATACTGTGGCCGGCACTGGCCGTGTAAGCGAGTCAAGCCTATTTCTGAGCCGGCTCGGACTCGACTCGAGAAATAGCTCATGAGCCAGCTTAATAAGCTAGTGAGTCAGATTTGACCCAGCTCTGATTAGACTTGTTAGCTTGTGAACCGACGACTCTTTTAAAAGATATTGATATAAATTATACTTAAAATATATTCACATTTAGAATTTTATGTGCAAATTATTTAAAATATTTTAAAATTATATTTTAATTTATTATATTAAGTAATTCTATATTAGTTGTGGTCTAATTTCTCATCCTTTTAATAATTTATTACAATAATAATTTGGATCATAATTGTTGTGGGTTGGAATATACGTGGCTATAGAGTTAAAATTTGTCTCAATGTTATACGGATATACAGCACACAACAAGGAATTCATAAATACAAGCTTTTTTACACGGAAAATCTTGGAAAAAGAAAAAACCACAAGGTTGCGCCAAGTTGAAATGATTTCACTAATATTTGAAAATATTACTAATGATTGATCCGTCCTATAGAGGATGATCATATTACAACAATCAACTTTAGGTTGAAATCTAGTGATGAGTGGAGATCAGACAGAAATTCGACGACGTTATGTGGTCGAGCGGGAGTCCGTTGTCAATTAGTTGCCAGGCTTCCGGAGTCAGTCGGTGAACGAGTGGAAGTCTTGCATCAATGGATGCCCGGGCAGAAGTTTGGTGGATGGACGAAAGTCAGGCGATAGTCAGATGCCAGATGAAAGTCCGGCGATGATCTAGAAGGAGTGGTGATAAGATAACTCTAATTTCTTTCTCTTTCTTGCTTAGGTCCCTTTCCTATGAGGAATGATGGTCTATTATGTCATCTGAGAATGACATAACCAATAAATATGAGAGATATCAATAATAAATTGAGAATGGTTTAAATGGACGACTGATGTTAATCCCCTTGATCATGGACTTTTTACTGAACATTTGAATATCTTAATGATATCAGAATTTGAACATCTTGGGCTCGTTCGATTTTTCTCGTCGAGCTGCTCAATTCGATTATAAGCATGTCACTTTTAGAATTCATGTGGTCATCCAATTTATAGTTTGAACTTTCCAAATGTGTTTTGAGTCTTTAATTTGGAACTATTTGGGCTCGGATTAAGTCAAATTTAGTGTTGTAGGGTTGGTATTTTCTAGACGTTCATTTCGACTATAAGTTTGCTAGAATCGAAATTCGGATGGTCCCAAATTTAATTTCGAAAGTTTCCAACTTGATTTTGCCTTGAGATTAGTGTCTGATCAAGATAATTTTTTGATGATATTGTAGAAACGTATAACCCGACGGTACAGAGGAAGAAGAAGAACAAATGAAAAACTTTATTAATATTTTTCCTTCCCTTGTTTACAGATATACAAGTGTATTTATAGAGCTGCATATAAGATAGGTACACGTGTCGGCTAATGATAGGATAGCAATGTAAATTAAACCAGTGGTTCTTAACATGCCCCCGCAAGCTGAGTATTGGGTCCAATGGTCAGTTTGTTGCGAAGTAATTTGTACCGTGGAGTATTCAATGGTTTGGTGAGAATGTCTGCCTTTTGATCCACGGTATTGATTGGAAGCAGCCGAATTGTGTTGTTTTGAATGTTATCCCGCACAAACCTTTGATCAATTTCGATGTGCTTAGTGCGAGCATGAAAGACAGAATTGTTTGCGAGAGCAATCGTGGATGTGTTGTCGCAGAAGACGTCGACTAGCTGAGTGTGTGAAATCTGAAAATCTGCAAGAAGTCGCTTGATCCAAATTGTGTCCGCGGTAGCCGATGCAAGCGCTCTGTATTCCGATTCTGTGGAAGAACGGGATACGGTAGTTTGTTTCTTAACTGTCCAAGAGATTAACGTTTCTCCAAGAAAGGTGCAGAAGCCTGAAGTAGATCGACGGGTGATTGGGTCGGATGCCCAATCGGCGTCTGAATATGTAGTTAGATTCAGGTTGGAACGTGTGACTGGTAGTCCAAAATCCACTGTCCCTTGTATGTACCGAAGAAGTTTCTTTAGCATGACTGTATGAAGCGGTTCGGGGCTGTGCATGTGTTGAGAAAGGGCGTTGACAGCGTAAGATATATCAGGGCGCGTTAGTGTCAAATATTGTAAAGCTCCGATTAATCTTCTGTATAAAACAGCGTCGAAGATCGGAGTTGGTGGAGGAGACAAAGCTGCGGGTTTGGTAATTGAAGGATTAGCGACCGAGTTACATTTAGGTAACTCGGCCATTTGAAGAATAGATTTAGCATATAGAGATTGAGATAGAAAGTACTTATCTGGATATCGATCAATTTTGATGCCCAGAAATTGGTGTGCCAAACCGAGATGCTTCATTGTGAATTTGGATTTGAGTTTACCGACCAAGTCATTCATAGCTTGGGTGTTGTTTCCGGTAAGTAGAATGTCGTCCACATAGACGAGTAAATAAAGACGAACGTTGTTTTGGTGAAGGATCATGAGCGACGGATCGGCCTGGCTTTGAGAAAAGCCAATTTGAAGAAGATAGGATGTGAAAGTAGTATACCATTGTCTGGGAGCTTGGCGAAGACCGTATATCGCCTTTTGTAACTTACAGACATAATGCGGATGCGAGTTATCCTCAAATCCTCTAGGTTGGCGCATAAAGATTGTTTCTTGAATGTCGCCGTGCAAAAAAGCATTGGCCACGTCCAGTTGATGTATTTCCCAATGGTGAAACAGGGCGATGGTAAGTAGAATCCGTATAGTGGGTAGTTTTGCGACCGGGCTGAAAGTTTCGTGATAGTCTAGTCCATATTCTTGTTGATT